TCTAAACCACCTACCGCAATACATTAAAGAGATACCAGCATTATGTAAATTTAAAATTACTTTGAAAACATTTCTATTAAAACATTGCTTTTATAGCATAGATGAGTTCCTCTCCTATGTGGACAAGACTTAGTTCACATTAGGATCATATAATAATTTGAAAGTAAGAACAATTGAGCTTAGCTTAACACACACTAGGAGTGTATACTGCATAACTCTCTTCTTGCAGGAAACAGGACACCATGTGCTGGAGAAAACACAGCAGGGACTATGGGATATGGAGCCAAGGCGGTGGGAGTGGTGCTGCTAGAAACCAGTGTATCTGGGAGGTCTTGTGACCGGCCAATTCGATCAAGGTTTTCCGTGGTTTTCCTTGGTCCCAGAGCAAATGCTGAGTTGGTACCCAAATTCCACGTTGCACTGCATGCTTCACATGCAGCCCCCCAATAGTAACATTATGAAACTTATTATACCATAACTACACAAGAATGACATGTCTTATATCATGTATAATGATCCATGGATATGAAATAAATGAAATGAAATGAAATGGTTGGTATGCTACAGCAAGGTGATATTGATCAAAAAGGGATTGTATTGTACACTGTCCTTTACACTGTTTTGTATATTTTTAAACCCTGTTGACATGTAATATTTGGCTGTTTTCAACTGACTTGTCTAATTCTGCTTGTGTAACAGTTATCAATTATCATGTAATTAATTCAGTGGCATATGGGATCCACAGCCAATCCTAAACATTAACTAGCTTACATGCCAAAGATGAACTTGTGTTTACAAAAAAAGTGGGGTAGAATCCCTACAGGAACATTTTTTCTTGAAAGCTGATCTATATGGTCATTTCAAAATGTTCTGGCTTATCTTACCATTCTAGGAATGTAGAACGATGCTGAGGTGGTTGTGGACCCATTTTGAGCTTTCGCTTCTTCATTTCTTTTAAAGTTGGGGCAAACCATCTCTTGTAGTTCCTCTCAGCTGTAATAAAGGATGTAGCTGAATTATTAAACTATGTCTGATGTTTAGATAATGATCACATGTTGTACTGCTTCTGCATGGTTACATACAGCACAAATTTTGTTTCTATGAAAATATATCAATACAGAACTAGGTCAGATAAAAAAGTCACACACACCAAATTATACCCCTTCTAGCAACCTAACACATCAGTGGTTCACTCAATATTATTATTTGTCTCATAAGTTAACTCTAGCTGGGGTAGGAAAAGGGCACCAATTTACAAGATTCCGAAAGTCAATCATACCTATTCCAATCTACCCGTCCCTCAAAATGCCAATGATACTTAGTTTTACACAAGATCCCCAATTCTATATAACACAGCTGATCACGGTAACGTGAAGATACACCATTTCGTAAATTATTTATATAAAAGTATGTATAAGTATTACACTTCGTGGCACTACATTGTGCTTACCAGAAACGAAATACGTCCTTCTCGTCTTTTGTGCATTTAGTATTACCACAGAAAGTTTCCTAGCAAAATCCATAACTATTTCTCTGTATATAACACAAAACCATTTACACTTTCTTTATAAATTAATTTCAGAAAAATAGATACACATTTGTAAAGTGAAACATAAGTAATTATTACAAAATATGTAAATAACTTTAAGCATATTTCTCCAATTTAAGCTATGTTAAAGTATTTCGAGAGGTTAAATTGAATTCGATAGTAACTGAAATTCACATAACCGTGGACAACGTAAATAACGTGAACATCGTGAAGATCGTGAACTATCGAGAATTGTGTGTACTTATAGAAGCAAATGCGATGGCAGCTGGTCAGAAGCAGTAGGTTCTCATGACATTCATGATAATTCTGTTTTATAGTTGTTTTTCAACAATTCATGTATTATTATGATGTAGCATATTTCAGCGTTGAGGGAAATATGGAGATAAATACGAAAGACATAGATAAACGTTTGTTTAGGTTAGGTAGGTGCCTGCTTTGAATCCCAGTCGGAACACAGTTATACTAAGATTTGTCATAGCTTGGAGCCTTGATAGCGTAGTCGGTATAGCGACTGGCTACGGGGTGGAGTTCGAGTCCCGGTATGGTCAAGACTGTTACCACGTCCAGACCTGCCTAGGGGTCACCGAACTTCCTATACAAAGGGTACCGGGGGCCCTTTCCCCGAGGGTAAAGCGGCCGGGGCGTGAAGCAGACCACTCACCCCCAACTAGTTACGAGGTCAAGAAAATGTGGATCTGTACATACACTACCCCGTACGCCTTCATGATGTAGAGCTTAATTAGTTAAGCATAGGGACAACTTTACCTTTTTTTTTATCATAGCTTTTCAGACCTTCAGGTAAATGCCTTTGAAATAAAGCATGGCTGCTTCCTTCTGAAGTCTTTGTGATTAATCATTCTGTCATTCAACAATTGTCTAGTTACTGACCTTAAATAAATTAATAAATGATGTTTAAGTTAGAATCTCTTCTGATAAAGTAAAGAGACTTTTTTACTTCTAAGTCTCCAAACGTTTTAGAAAAAAATATGACATTCTTTACAGGTATGGACTTCTTGCTCCAAAGAAGCTAAACCAAGGACCACTCCAGCCACGACTAGCAGTATTTGGTGATGACAGTGATTCAGACAATGAAGATGGCACAGATTGGGTTAAGAGAACACTCAAGGTATGTGTAAACATGAAAGAGAATTGATGATTCTTGAAATCACTATGATAGTTCACTTGTTTCATATATATATTTAACACCTGCTCCTAGCAAGTTATCTCTCTTATAATGAAGAATATGCTTACTTACTAATGGAGCTGAGCCCTTCTTGAGGAGCCACCAATTCTGCAGCTACTCAAGAATTTTCCGGCATTTTATTGAACCCAAAGGTTCATTTCTGTGTTCACAAGAGCCATTCACTGGTCCCTATCCTGAGCCAGATCAAGCCAATCCATCCCATCCCATCCTGTCTGTCAAAGATCCATTTTAATATTGTTCACCCACCTGTGCCTTGGTCTTCCCAGTGGTCTCTTTCCTTCTGGCTTTCCCACCAATATCCTATATGCATTTCTCATCTCCCCCATTCGTGCTACATGCCCTGCACACCTCATCCTCCTTGACTTTATCATTCTAATTATACATGGAGATGAGTACAAGTTATGAAGCTCCTCATTATGCAGTTTTCTCCAACCTCATGTCACTTCATCTCTTCAATCCAAATATTCTCAACACCCTGTTCTCAAACACCCTCAGTCTATGTTCCACCCTTAATGTCAGAGACCAAGTTTACACTGTTCCTGTGCATAAATTTTATTTTATTTGATTATAGCGAGAGTTTGAAAAAGGTGTACAAAAGAAGCAAACCAAACTTGAAATGCAGCGGGCACTTGAGCAAGATCCTACAGTCTACCAGTATGATGAAATTTATGAAAAGATGGAAGAAAAAAAAACAGACACAAAAGCAACAAAGAAAGATCAAGAAAAGAAGGTACAGGATATTTATGTACATTGTAAAAAATTAAATATGCCTGATATAATAATGTATCAGAAGCATGAAAATGCTGATGTATAATATAACTAACTACAGTGACATTCACAGGTAATAAGATAAACTTCTTCAGTTTACAGTCCTATATGAATTTTAGTGAACTTTTAATATCTGGGACCTATTCCAAAATTTCACACTAAGATAATAGTATATCTTCACTTCATGTCTACACCTCTCTGTAATGAAGAACCAGCACTACTTTTAAAGGATTTAATTTCAAAACAATGCAAGTCTTGGAAAATTCATTCTTTTTAATCACTGCTTTAAAAAGGAATATTGGGTGAATCCATAACCACGAAAATAACTATTAGAGTTGGATTGGTCATGATCTTACCTGAACTGGGATCAAGCAAACTTCAGAACTCCAGAAATTGGGTGAGATAGTGATAAATGAGATGACCTACACATAGACAAACTTCCTTGGACACAGTAGGTCTTAAATTATCAGTGCTGAGGTCTCAACTGTCATGAGCCCTGAATTTTGTGTTTTGTCTGATACTGGTAAGCAGGATTTAGAGTACTAAGTGCATCATAACATTTTTGTATATCCAGACCCAAATACTTTGTACCCTTGGCCTGTAGCTTTCAAACATTTATGTATCATGAAAAGTTAAACAGTTCCATGTAGTGTGACTGGTGAAGATTTGTCTATTTCAGTTATTTATGCCCTTACATGTTTCGGTCTTCAGAGACCATCATCAGGTGTCCCTCTGATGATGGTCTCTTAAGACCGAAACATGTAAGGGCATAAATAACTGAAATAAGAAAAATATTCACCAGTCACACTAGATTGAACTGTTTAACTTTTCATGATATTGTTAGTGTGACAGACCAGAATGAAACAAATCAAACTTTTATGTAACTCCTCTGTTTATAGTCACGTTATATCCAGTCACTAATGAAACAAGCTGAACGTAGGAAAAGGGAACAAGAACGGCGAATAGAACGTGAAGTGCAGAAAGAACGTGAAGCAGAGGGGGAGGAATTTAAGGATAAACAAGAATTTATCACCTCAGCATATCGTGAAAAGCTTGAGGAATTCAAGAAAATGGATGAGGAAGAAAGACGTCAGGATCAGATTGATGGTTGGTCTCTCTGTTGGTCTTCCATAGTATCTAAACATATAATATCCTTTATTAAAATTTCTGCCTTAATTAAATTAACTCCCTAAATTTTCCACACTCTGGTCATCTGTTATTGTATCCTGGTACAATAGGCCAGAAGTGGCCGCAGTACAAGGGACTTAGCCCCACCCCACTAGCAATAAAAAAAATTACTGTATCCTTCCTTTTCCCCTTCTCTTCCACTTCAAATAATTTCTGCTTCTGTATGTTATTTTTCAGCTAACAAGTTCCCATATTAATCTACTTCCCTGTAGTTCAGTATCCACAGCTTCCTTCTCTTCTTCCTGTCTCATATCTTTCTTACTGAGCAGATTGGCTCAAATGGTAACACTCCTGACTATTCCGGAGATTCATTATTCATTCATTCATTCATTATTATGCCAGGATAGTACTTCAAATTAGGTCATGACTACTTCCTTTCCAGTTCATTATTCATTAAACATCCTGTCATTCAACACTATATAATCTGAGTTACTGACAGCATCATGAAATAAATAAATATATTTTCTTGCATGCTACTCTGCAAAGCAAAAGCAGTTATCTGAAAACTGTAATTTTTAGACTGAAAAGTCGATGTTTCAATTTAAATCACGATTTTTTCTCAATTGAGTCTCAGAAATTTAAGATCTGCACATGTCTGTAAATAATGTTCAGTCTTTTGCCATCCCAAGATGGGATACTTAACCTTATTCAGGACTGTACTGTGGGCATATAAATATCAGAGGATCTGACATGTAATCTCTAAGAACAAAGATATTCTATTCAGATATCAATCAGGGGATAAAACAGATGTACAGACAGACTAGTGCCAGAACAAGAAATTGAAGTAAAAATATCAAGATAAATGAAACTTTTAAACTCTGATGAACATGTTGAAATCTAAACAGAATTTTGTGGGAATAATAAGATTGCTGAGATGTGAAATGCTGATGTTGATGGGAGAAAAATACAGAACAAGTAATACTAATGTAACAAACTCTGACATAATCATTATTTTTAAACCATTTTGTCTTTTTGAATGTTTTTCAGCTCTGAATGATGTGTCCAAACAGAAAGACCTAACCAGTTTCTACCGTAACTTATATAAACAAGCAGTGGGAGAGGAAGACTCGAAGGACAGCATCAAAATCAAACAAGACAAAATGGCCAAAGACAGACCTGCAGTAAAAGACAATTCAGAAACTGTTGGCACATCAAAATCAGATGACAAAGATCAGACTGACAGAAAAACATCAAGACAGTATCGCAAGCGAAAGAATTCATCAGAATCAGAAAAAGATGAAAATGAAGGGGCATCACATAAAACAAATATTGATGCAGACTCAGATTTCACTGGACACAGCTCTGGCAGCGATAGTGGTGACAGTGAAGGAAGTACAAATAAAAGGAAGAAAGTAGAGAAGAAAAATACAGTAGAAAAAGAACACAAGGCTGAAATTTTCACATCAGGTTCAGAAGAGGGAGAAATCAGAGAAGCAAATCTTGCCAAAAGAGATTCAAAGAGGAATAATAATTCGGAATTAATAAAGGAAAATGCAAGTGAAGGTGGTAAGAAGGTTAAGGTTAAAAGCGATGAATCAGAAATAAAAGAAGAAGAAAAAGATTTACGAATTATGGAAGAAAAAGATACAGATAAAGGAAATACTAATGCTAAACCTGAACCTCCAAAACGTTCCATTTGGGAGAAACGAACAGTAGGACCTGTGTTTGAAGCAGCTCTTGCAAGGTACTTTGCCAGGAAAGCTGCAAAATCTGTATGTTGAGACTGAAAGGCAACTTTGTTTATTCTCTTTGCAAAGTACTTACCTAGAAATATGCAGTGTCCACCATAAAAAACTCATATTTTATTTTAGTAGTGAAATATTTGTCATATGTGACCTTCTGTAACTACTGTAACTATTTCTACCTCTTCACTGACAAATGATACAGTGTGAACATTTGTCAGATCTGATGGAATAGCTGTAGTTGGTAACTTGTTTTAATATTTGTTTACTTTCCCATTATATCAAATACAAATTACTTTACATTAATTTTACATTAGCTGTAATATGTAATAGTTCCAAATCACATACAGTTGTATACATGTAAATAAAACTATGTAATATTCAGAACTTCATTTTCTTAAAGTGAAAAACATTTATTAACCCTTTTACCATCTCCCCCCCCCCAAATGCAGTTTATACTCCCATGATTTAGTAGTCCATTATGAGGAATGATCACATAAAAATATCTTGTATACTAAGGCTCTAATAAGTTTTGGACGTATAGTATTCTTGGAAATAACAAATAGCACACAACAGCTGCACATTGTGATTAAAATAAGCACTGCTGACAGAAATTTGAACTAGTAGTTCAGAATGTAGCCAATAGATGGAGAAATCTACAGCTGCCATTTTCTCTGATATGCCCCTTTGGAGATGTGTAGAAAGTTTCTGAATTCAGTCAACAATCAGCTGTGCCATAATGTGGTATACGGAAACTGTCATGGGTGTGGCACGATCTCTATGCGTCACATTATTGCACAGCTGATCTTTTAATTTTAAATGCAACTTTGAACCTTAAAAAGGCTGGTGATGGGGGGGGGAAACTTTCAAGTAAAGTGATAGTTCTCAGTAGACACCTGGTCTGAATTATCACATTTCATCAACTGTATAAACAAATAAGGTGCTTTTGGGTTTCTTATAAAACGAAAGTCCAAACTATTGAGCTCAATCAAAATTATATTTAATGTAATACTTTGACTTATTCCCAAAAGCCAAAACATAAAACTCCAGCGACAAAACTTGAGGACAAAAATTTCATCATCAGATCTTAGTAAGGTATGAGGGCTATTTGGAAGGTAACCTCTGGTGAGCTGTTAATAAAACGAGCAATGAGATAAGAAAAATTATTATATACACACTTAAGCTACTTCTCAACACAGTCACCACTGGAACTGAGGCACTTGCTGCATCAGGGAATAAGTTTTTGTATGCCTATGTCAAAGAAGTCTGCTGCCTGTGAGCTCAGCCACATTTTGACACCTTCCTTCAACTTGTCATTACTGTTGAAGCACTGTGATCCCAATCAGCTCTTCAGGTAAGTAAACAGGTGGTACACGTAGCTGCTCAGAGGAAGAACAGGGCTGTAAGGAGGGTGGTCAGACATCTCCCAGCTGAAATGCTCCAGCAGTACTCGAGGGCATTGGTTGTATATGGATGTGCACTGTCATGAAGGAGCACTATACTGGATGTGAGCTTTTCTGTATGGCTCTATGCAATTTTTTTTTAGTCTTTCGCAATACAAACATGGCTGAGCTCACAGGCAGCAAACTTCTTTGACACAGACATACAAAAACTTATTCCCCGATATAACAAATTCATAAATTCTGGTGGTGACTACACTGAGAAGTAGCTTAAACATGTATGTATTTTTTGTATATAATAAAATATTTCTTCTCACTGCTTGTTTTGTTAACAGATAACCAGAGTTTACTTTCCGAATAGCCCTTGTACAATGTAGGACTGCACTGTAGACAATTTAACCTTCCCAGTAACTATTTTATCAGTTTTCACTAATAAATTCTGCATACCGATTCTAATGACGAATAGTCTGTCAACATTTACATATCCTCATTGCCTCTCTAAAATAATAAAAAACATTATTCCCCTTTTTTGGATGAACTGTAATAAACCAATAGAGTATCAGAGTTGAGAAAAAAGAAAGTTGGGAATTTAAGTGACACTAAATCTGTTAAATTACGGGAAACTACATTTTTATTTTATAACATATGAGTAAAAGTAACACATAATCAACAAGACATCTTTCACAAAAAAGTTCATGTTTAATTCAGTTTTACAGTCACAATTTTATTACATACACACCCTTTAACATAAGACAGTATTCTGTAAACTTTATAAAATATTAATGACAATGGACGTATACTGATAAATCACAGCTGCAAATTTGTAACTTTAGTCATGCTAGTGTGGTTATTAAAAAATCATAGGAATGCAGTTGAAAAATACAACCAATGTTTCTCAAATGATGCATCAATACCAAAATATGGAATGATAACAAACTTTAGTCATATCTTATATGTAGCACTTTGTGGTCCAGTGTTCTTATTATGTTCACACAATTAACTACAAAGGGTTTGTGTGTTTTTGAGTAAAAAAACACAAACAGTACATTTTCACAGAACTTTGCAGTAAGTGGTGCTTTGCTTTGTCTGTGTAGGAATTTATGGCCAGAAACCATATGACTCTCATTTTCCATCATCCCTGCTGTCCATATACAACCCTATGTAACTAGGTATGTTTCAACAGCACAAGTTAGAACACGTGGGGAAGAGATTTCATGACATAATAATGACCAAAGAAAAATCATAGCATACCCTGACACAGTTCAAGACCCAGGACTTCCACAGGTGCTCCTGACATGAGAGAATTTGCAGACTTCCTGTTATCAGGTCTCAAGGGAACTACTTTGAAGAGTAGTACCATGATGTATGTATATAGTGGCCACTTACACAACAATTACTAATTACTAAAGTAACTGTTGTGTAGACAGCCACTATATACCACAATTCTACAACACAAAAGGATGCAAAGAACTGAAAAAAAAAAAAGATACTTTGAAGGGGACAGCCTAGAACAGCTACTAAATGCATTATCAATAAGTATAAAGAAAATAATTCAATCCAGAAATTTTCTGATGCTCACCACATATAACAGAAGGTATGGGCTACCCTCCCTCATTCTCCCCCCTCCTGAAGGATGTATGTATCCTGGTATTTATAAAACTTTTAACAGAAATTTTATATGGAAACTAATTCTAGTGACCATAGAGCCATGTATTTGCTGCCTCATCTCGCATTTGACATTATTAATGTATGAGTTACTAACAGCATCATTAAATAAACTACAAAAAAAAATAAAACCAGTCTAGACAGAACCACAACGTGAACACTACAACACAAAGACAGGGACCCCTTCACATACAATGCAACATACAGGAGTAATAGAAATTCACCATATGTAGAAAACAAAACTGTGGAGACATAAAGAAAGCAATTAGGAGACCAGTGAATGATTCCAAGATATAGTATATATGTAAACAAATGAAACGGAGACTCCTAGAAGGGCCCCCAAAGTTTTTCGACCTGTGCCTTACCACCCAACAATGACTATAACAAAACCTGACAAATCTACCTCTAGTTTTAAGCTAATTTAAAATCAAAACATAATACAGATACTTAATCTTAAGATTAAAATTATATGTTAATGTTAATCCAAACCATATATCTAATCTTATTTTTTTTAAACTTACTTTTAAAGAAACTGCGCATATGAAGATCATATTTTAACAAAAGGGTGTATTCACAGAAAAGGTGGTAAAATATTGTAATAATATGGATCCACATTAAGGAAACAATTCAATGACTAAGATCCCATTTCTACAGATTCACCTGATGATGACCGTAATCATGTAGCAATGTCTTTACCAAATAAACAAATGATGATACATTAGCATCAATTTGTTCACTGACGTACTGTGTAGACAGTCCCATAAAAATGCTATTATATGACACACAACAGGATGCATCCCATGAAGACTAAAACAAACTCATCTAGATCACAAAATGAAAAGCATAAAGAATGACTGAATTGCTTCAATTACAATATTAAGTAGTTTTGATGCATAATTCACATTAGTTGGATTTTATAAGTTGGTACACTAGTAATGTGCATACCTATAGCCATTACGTGTTGCCTCCATTAAAATTCCTGCAAACTCATTGCAGCTGATGTAGAAAGGTAAAAATTGTGAAGGTAAAGCCATCCCTGTAACAGGCTGTGGGGGCCCACAGGGTTGTGAGACACTGAGGCTCCCACACTTTCCAGACAATCAGCTCACAGATGGTGACAAGGTTGTCAGCCTTGTGTGCTGGCTGCCTTTTATCCCAGGAAGATTCCTGGTACTCATTTATGTTAGAGGCTGAGTTGACCCCAGGGCCATAGTGCAGCTGGAAAGACGTCAATTGAAAAATCTAATGACCTCAGTGGGAATCGAACCCGGCTTGTAGCACAGTGCTTCAACCAACTATGCTACCATGTGTTCCGATGTAAAAACGATGTTACAGTATTTTTTTATATATATGTAGAGGGATATGGCAATCTTTCTTGAGCAACAGATGGTATTAAACATTTCAGACTGGCTATATGGAGTACTTCTATCAGGTCTCATGGTATAATTAATATTTAAATGAAATAAACAGTTCTTACAGATTATATACAGAATATTCTTCTCATCATGCACTCTTCAAACACAGATATACAAAATCTACAAAGAACCAAGGCACTTAACAATTGTACAATTATCTAAAGATAAAATGTACAAAGAAAACAGAACATTTTCCAAAATAATTTCTGCCAAAGCGGTTCTATTCAACCCCAAACCAACTCTGCTAAATGCTATGACAAAAGACAGACTGAGGAGAGTTCATGGACTGTGAAGAAAATTATACAGACATTTACATTTACATTAGTACATGTCCACAGATGCTGGAAACTGGACATAACAACTGTGCATTAACCTTCTCCAATAGGGACTACACATCTCAGAATATAAGTTTTTTGTTGCAGCATGTGTGACAATTTATGGATTAGGAACCATCCTCTAATTGAAAACATTTGTTGTCTAGTTATTCCTCACTGGCTTTTCATTCAAAACATGGAGAAAGCTCATGACCTGCAAGCTGTTATTCTACCATGTAATAATCACATCATCCAGCTATATAAGTTTTAGATGTTTCCATCTCTGCGCTTAAAGACACACTGACTATGTGATAATTACAATTTCAAACTAGCAAATAATTTTTTTGGGCATTCTTATGCCATTCTGATATGAAATGTGTAAAAATTTTATGTTTAACAAAAGTTATTGTACTGTGGCATATAGATCTATTGCTAAGCAGTGACTGTAAACAGCAGCCATTGCTAGGTAATGCCTGCAACAATAGAGGAATGGTATTTTCTGTTGGTCTGTGCTGAGGGGTTATAAATGGGACAAAGTTTAGAGCTTAGTCCAGTTGTGAGACGGTGGCCAGCTGGCAATTGCGTAAGCATGGAAGCTGAAGGACCTCCACTGTTAGAAGCTGTTCCCAAGAAATTACTAATAGAGACTGTAACAGACTGAGAACATTAGTCTGTGTGCTCTAGTGATTTGTAAAGTGTGGAGATTATTGATGGTGCTATAATTAATTGTAGTCTCAGTCGTGTGTTAAAGTGATCAATAAATTGAATCACCAATGTATACCCTGTCTATAGTTACTCTGTGACGTGACATTTTCACTTGTAAGATTTGAGGTTGTCGTGGTGGTGACTAAGAAGAGTATTGTCTTCTGGGATATGATGCCATGAGGTCTAGCAGAAGTCTCCCAGTGTTTCAGACGTGTAACCGCACCATCGAAATCCTTCCCCCTTTTTTTATTTCAGTAGCTAGTAGTTAATAATAAGAATTTATGAAGAAACAAAGGTTTAATACACACTGTAAGAACAAGGAATAGGCAATGAGCAGACAGACCAAACTTGCACGGACAAGGACATCTGCTAGTCCTTGTGTCCAAGCACGTGGTGTTATTTTCCAAAAGGGCAGAAAATGATACTTCAAGAAACCCCACTGAGTTTCTTTAGAAATTGAGAATTAGACTTACAGCGGCAAGACACTTTGAGAATTTGAGAAGTGACAGTTTCTACCAGCCATAAGTCAAAAGTGGGAGTGCCAGGAGATCATTAGAGACCCCTCATAAGTTGCATCACTGTCAATTTCGCCATTTGGTCTTTTAGGGCAAAATTCCCTTAAAAACAATCTGTCATTGGCCGGAACCAAAATTAAGCCAACTCCCCTTATTTGAATCAGCCTATCAGGGAAATTAGGAGGAAGGAGAATAGGCAGATACAACTTGGTTAGGACCTCTGGCTTGGCAGAGAGTTCAATCTAAGATTTTTAGTCGTCTATCAACTTCTGAACTTGGCGGAGGCAAACCCCGCATCACTCACGCTAAAAGATAACTCTAACAAGTACCAAATTTCGCTCTCATAACGACTCATATTGAGATTTAGCTTAATCAACAAGAGCGTGGCACAAAGGAATCTCGCGAACTGATCGAGTGCATTTTAATGTAAGTGTAACACCCGCTGCTTGTAAGCTGAAACTAAATCAGATTGTGTGAATTTATGCAGCCGAGTGTCTTTAAGAAGAACAAGAATAAAGTGCTGTGGTGCAGTGAATTGTGTTGATTAGAGGTGTTTCACCCTCACTTGTCCAAGCCTGACCCATATCCAACCTGAAGAGAGACTCATCTCCACTAGCTAGTCAAATCCACCATCAGCTTTCACATGCTCACTCGTTCCCCTCCACTTACTATGAATTGTAAACAGTCTCTAACTGTTTGATGGCTCCCATACTATCAGATCCAATCCTGAAATTCAGCCCCCAATAATCTCAACTGAAGGAAGAAGCAGTGGAGCCAGGTCAAGCCGAAACCAGCTACGACCTAGCAACTTCAGCAGCGGCAACACCAGGTAGGGCAGCGTCGAAGCGGTCATCAGAGCAGAGGGGCAGATCGCCATCAGCTCCCACTCCATGCACTACTATTCAGACGGAGCTGCAGGCCGAAGGAAGGAGGGATGGTTACAAAAGATTAAGTGGAGCCCAATGTAAGGGCACTAAGAGGACAGTTATAAGTGGCGCCAAACAAAGGGGCCACACAGAACACAAAGTGAGCAGTTATAAGTGATGACCAACATGTGGGGCTTGAAGTCTCACTGAGTGGGTCAGTTATAGAGGAATGTACTACTTCCATCTTCTGAGTCAAACAGCAAGCTAAGTAAGCAACTAGTCACTCATCCTGCTTATGTCTTTCTGGTTGCTTGCTCATCTTACTCTTGAACTCTGAAGATAGAAGCAGCACATTCCTCCAAAACACTGGTAAACTTATACCAGCCTCCAGAGTGTCATATCCCAGAAAATGGTACTCTTTAAAATTTTGGTCCATGTATAAAGAATAAAACATCACATCAAAATTAAACCTTACAAACAGCAGTAATACAATTTTGAATTGTTTCATTTTGGTCCGTTACACTATTAATCACCAATTGTCAATAGATTTTCCATCAAGTGCAACACTATATATTTTGGTCACTTATTTATCTCGTCTGCCTTACATGTTTCGGTTCCAAGGAACCATCTTCAGAGGCACTTACAACAAATCATGAAAACACTGGCACAGCTCAACATCCACAGTATGTAGTTATTTGTGGAAACTATTACATATATCGGAGTGTAAAGCACANAGCAGTAATACAGTTCACATGAGATGATGTAACACTGATGCTTGTATATAAGGAGCTTCAAATCCACCTCTTCAATACCTGAACTCACTTTTAACAGTTAGGATATTGCAATTGCTTGGAAGCTTAGAACTAACTAGAAGGAATATTTCCCAACTAAAGTTGTTTCTGAGATGTGGCTAGTCACTCTATTCAAACAGCTGTACCATGTCTCCAAAGCGTTTTAAAATTGCACTTAGATTATCCAAGTATTTCACTTTACCATCATTAGGTACTATCTGTGTTCTTTCTTTGACCATAGAAGATTCATTTTATTTATTGATTTACACCGAAGAATGTCTAAAATTAATAGTTTCTTTAATCATACTGTAACAGCAAGAACCTTTCATCATTTAAATGCAGCCACAATGGCATTTTGAAGTAAGTCTTTAAGGAGTTAATATACAGGGAATATTTCTTATGAGCAAATTATCTACAGCCCTTGGTGTTTTAAGCAATAGCAATGCAAAACACCAAGAAGCAACGTTCTGCTCCTTAGATGGCCAGCACAATGCTGTGACATTTTCCACATTAAAAATATTCTCTGTAAAAACACAGTATAGATCAGAACTCCATAGCTGTTGTTCTAAAATGTATACATTTTTTAAACTGGTGCTTTTCTTCCTTCAAAATCATAAGCTGGTCCTATATAAAATCATACTTCATCTACAGCTCTTCAGCTCACTGTTGCAAATTGCATGTCCATTACTAGAAACTTTGTTGATATAGACAATTCACAATCAAGGCCCCAACTGGGTCTCACAGACATTCTGGACAAGACATAAAGCAAAAAGTCTCAGCAGACAAATCCTGACATCTCTTTACATCCAATCACTATATAGACTTAATTGTATGTATATATGAGTAGGGATCTGCAATAAAGAACTTCACTTGTCAGGTACTTGAACATTTCAGTAAGAAAAACGTTTATATACAGCACACATTTTCTCACTAGCCACAGTTTTTCTATTTCCATTGATGAGTAAATATGTTTCTGCTGACCCCTGCACACCTAACGTTATAAGTATAGGTTAATGTTACCAACTACAGATCCAAAAATGAAATTACCAACAGTTCCTGACAATTACCATTTAAATTTATAACTATGAAACATAAGCCCACAGAAAGTTTCTTACATTTTCAGCAGGTTTACAGTAAAAGCATGAAACAGATATAAAATTTTGAAATCTATAAGGAGTAATAATTAAGCAGAACTAAAATTTCCAAATTTGTGGGAACCTGGTGGCCTAGATAAAATGTCCCAGATTTCTGTGCCTAAGAACAGGACCAGCACAAGTCTAAATGCTGCTCCAGGTAACAAGAAATTCCATCCTCTCCAATTAACCCTTTGATTACCATGCCAAGCCTTGCCATACATTTTACTGTTACAGATAACAACTAAAGGATTGTATAAGTCCTGTGGTTAGTCTGCAAGGTGGATAACTGAGAGTCTGCTGTAAACAGTAAAGGGTTTCCCCTCTTAGTGTTAAGCAAGTGAATATAAATACACCTATCAATGGTAAGAAAATGTGTGAGACCGACACCAAGAGGAGAAACAGTAGCTTGTCTCACCACCACCACATGGACTGTTCAATATTCTTCTTGATTTGTGAAACATGTTCCTAAATTAGACTGCAAGCTTGACAGAAATCCCCTACAAGAAAGAAGTCGTAATGAAGGTGAGACACAAGACAACAACTGTAACAGAAGCATTACAAAAAGCAGCAAGCTCACAGACTACAAGCTACAACTATACATTAAAGTCAAACACAAGCATTGCAGAATGGGGAAGCTGACAACTGCATTTAAAATCTGATTCAGAAAGTCATGAAAGGAAAAGACCATTTGGAACATCTGGGTGTAGATGGGATGATAATGTTAAAACTGATACTAAAAAGTAAGGTATGGAATACATTCAACTAGCTTAGGAGAATTTCCAGTAATAGGCTCTTGTTGTATATGCCCACTTAACATTCCTTAAAAACAGGGAATTGCTTGATAAGTGGAGCATCAATTAGTTTCTGAAAAAGGATTTTGCTTCAGAGAGCTATTCATTTTGTAACAAGCATTACAGAGTTGAATCTAAGTAAATCTTCTTTCTGACTTACAGTTCTTAGAAATGTAATTCTCTTAAACTCCTTATATTAAGTCAATGATTAAAATCCTAGAACTATTATCTGTTCTTCCAAATGCCAAGCTCAAACTCTGCAGTGTACAAACTTAATTTAAACTCTCAAGATATATACTAATCCTCTATCATTGTACTAATTTTCACAGAGGCAACAAAAACTGTTCATGAAGGATGATTATAAAATCACAAACCTAACCTAAGTGTTAAGGAACTAAATTCTTATTTTTACAATAAAGAACAGCTGTTTCATAAAAATATAAATATACTGCTATGCCAAATTTCCATACTGATATAGAAAAGCATATCTATAATTTGTGTTACAGCCACATTTTTGTTTTTCACATTAACAATAAAAATAACATCAACACAATTTAACAACATTTAGTACTCTATCATTATATAATATTTTGAAATTCTATGAAGAATATTGCTTCTAATTTCTCATCACAGACGTCTGCCTAGTCATCACCTTGAATTGAATTGAATTGAATTTTTGAATTGAATTGGTAATGTTAATTTAAGAATTTATGATATCAGTGACATTTATCTTTAGAATATCTGATTTAGTACAGCTTCATTCACCACACATCAAACATGGAATGAGCAAAAATGAAATCTCACGTCCATTAATAGTAAGATAGCAAGATGCAGGGGAAGATCTACCTTTGTGGGAAGAGGTCTATAATTACAGCACAAGTTATTTTTATTCGTAAATATTTAGAAGATTCTACCAAACACTATATTAGAACACTCAATAGCAGCAATATGCAGTATTTTATCTGCAAGACAGAAAAATTCTTTTATGAATTTCATCCAAACAGGAATTCCAAAATGATTTTGCAAAACGTGTAATGACAATTTTCAAAATACATTAGTTTATGTAATATATAGTCCCACATGAAATTCACATTCAATTTATAACAGATATTGCAGAATAAAATTAATTCACCATCAACTGTTTTCTTGTCAGAAATATCATGTGTTAAAACACATGTCCAGTGGCAAATATTATTTTCATTAGTTATTTAGAGCTACCTAATTTTTAACTTACCCAGTTACATGTTTGTTTTGATCTACATCTTCAGTAAGGTGTAAAGTTTCATCATTCAAATCCTGTGTGGAAGCTTCTATCATTGCAGTTATTCTTTCCATTTGGCGATCCAATGGGGATATGGGAATCTCTTCTCGTCTTTCACCGCTTCTTTCAAACCTTTGTCCTACTTCAACTGTTACCTATCATAAACAATAAACAAATCCTCACTTTCAACATACTGTGATGCAGTGTGACGACAGATGGGTTTTGGATTGGTGACTGGATTTATGGCACACTTTGGTACAGTGTGTGACTACACTTTTCGGTTCAGTATCACATACACCCTAGTGTCCACAGTCACATCTCTATTGCCACTGCTCAGTAGAGGCTTCCAACGGCAGATGTTCCCCTTCCTGAACTGTCCACAGCCTCAGCTACCCACTTCTGACAGCAGCAGTTCTCGAACTATCTGCAACTGCTAAATGGTCCTACTTATAACATCTCGACACAGACTGCGCAGAAAACGTTTCTTCCATTATTGCTATATTATCTTGTTGCCATGGAAACATGCTTGTTTGTGGAGCCGTTACTCAGCAACTGTTGTATAGTTGCTTATTTGATGGTAGCTGCCTAGCAATGGGTCTACATACCACATTGCTCCCACCTTAAGGCTATATGTCTCGAACACCCTATGGGCATATTGCCATTTTTCTTTTCTCAGGTCAGTGCTTTTGATGTCTCTTCATTTTGTAGAGGGCTGATTCCTCCACAATGCTCAGTCTGTCATTCTCCATGGCCCTGTAAATGATCTGACTATTCTCTTTCTGGCCTCCAGTTCTATGGTCTTCCTGAAGATGTATAGACCCACATTTTCTGGACCTCGGCACTTGTTCAGAGGTGAGTGATCAGCTTCACGCCCCGGCCGCTTTACCCCTGGGGAAAGAGCCACAGGTACCCACTGGATAGGAGGTTGGGTGGGTCGCAGAGCCTGTCTGGACAATTTAGTGAAGAGAAAATTCTTGACCCTACTGGGACTTGAACTCCGACCCCTCAGTTGTCCAGTCTATAGTCAGTCGCAATACTGACTACACTACCCCAGATCCTATGACACTTGGAAAGACCTTTACAAATATAAAATGGTTAAGACTACAGTTTTCTGTGATGTGCCACTATGTAGCGTTGTAAATAGGTGCCATCACTTTGGAGGAACCTGCTGCGTCTATTTGCAGGGCAAAATATTTCATTTTGTAACAATTACAACAGGCCAATAAGACATAAGAGAAGAAGGAATGACAATGATCGTACTTACATAATTGTTGCTTCAGTTTTAAAATTCAATCATAACATCCAATATGGAAAAAATAGAGAAATAGGTTTCATCTTATAAATGCATATATTTCATGAAATGACAACAATGATGATAGAGAGACAAATCCTGATAGATCAATCTATTGGCAGAATTACTACTACCTGCAATCAGCATGTGCTGTGCTGTGTCAGTACAATGTGTTACCATAATCTCATACATCACCATATATTATAACGAGAAATAACGTATCACAGGAAATGAGTTTGGAACGTTTTCACTCACCTTCATCAGGTCCTCCAGCCGCAATTCTCTGCGCACCTTCTCACTGCGAGGTCTCAGTTCTTTTGGTTTTAGGGTCAGTAATTCTTGAATGGCTGCTTTAAATGTTACAAGACTGAAACTGTAATGAATTTTATGAAACAAACAACACTTTCAACAACACTAGTTGCTGTGACTGATATGCAGTATTAAAACAGCTAACTGGTCAACAAATTAAATTCCAGCTGCACTTAATAATTTTGTAAAGAGGACAAAGGCCTTAAGAAAAAACTAAACATGATGTATATAGCCTTTATTATGTGCTACAGGGAGGGATTCCATGAAACTGCCACAAAATAATTCAGAAAGACAATTATGAGGTCCGCATAAATTTTGATAGTCATTCTCTCAAACTGACTTGGGTATTAAAGAAACATATGTCTGTCTGAAGTCCAACAATTTGAACTTCAAATATCTCAAATTGGTAACAATCTCCAAACAGAATGTCTATTTTTTTTACTCATGACTAATTTTTACCCTCACAAGAAATAAGTAAAAAAAGTAAAGATCACTGTGATGAAATAAGCATACTTCCATCTTTGGGAAGGAAGAAGTAATGTTTAAGTACTCCTGAATATAAGAAGTGCTATTTTTTGTTATCACTGGGTCCACCCTTTCCTCTAGCAACTAAACAGTGTGGTGGATTGTTTTCATATGACTACTCTAAGGCTGGGGCCACACGAGCGCACAAAATGCGTCCATTGTAACGAATGTACTTTATGACGGACGTTGCTGAGGATACCACACAGTTGCAGAATGCGGTGCGTAGTTTTTTGTCTGCAATGGAGCCGGAAGAAAGTGGAGCATTTGCCTCTCTTATTTATTTCTACAACAGACACATTTTGTGCGCTTGTGTGGCCCCAGCCTAAAGGGTTAATAACAAAGTCACTGTTCTACAAATACATATTAAAACCCTAAGACTTTCTTTAGTGTGTCATTTTAAGACACAGTTAGCATTCTGCCCTGATAGACTAAGGATCAGAGAGAGAGAGACCCAAGTGAGCAGAGAAACTCAAAAGTGGGTAAGAAAAAGAATAGATACAAATACAAGAGGAACATTTATGTGATGATGGAGAAGAATGAGCAGGCTTTGTCATAAGATGCCCATTGAAGCTGAAACATCAATGGATAATACTCATCTGAGTGATATTACCTGGTGGCATCACTTGGTGATAAGGTCCACTGAAAATTCTCCATGTAATACAAATTGGATGCCATATGTAGAGGTTTTGCTTGTATAATGACTGTAACCAAAAGGGGAATCAAGTCATCTGTCATCAGTGTTGGCATCTGACTGTCTTCTGCAAGGGAAAAGAACATACGCCAGATCACTGTAAAGAAAATGAATTGCATATTACTCTTGCACTTTACTTAAGTAACTAACACAACACTCACTTGAAAGTACACTGTGTGCATCAACTATAGCTCCTTTCAATTCAGCAAGAATTAAATCAAGGGTGGTCCGAAGACAAGAAAGCTTATCAACCGGGCAGTTTAGGCTATCTAGAGATGCCAGCTCAACCACCTGCAAAAAACAATACAAACAAATCTCTCAAAATGTACTAGTACCACAAAAATAGTTAATATAATGACAGTGTTCCATCTTCGCTTTCTATCATATCAGTAGGCTTACTGGCAACACTGACTATTTGCACGCTGCCCATTTTCAGCACAAAAATAGTCAATTGCACGTTTTGCTACAAGAATCAAGCAGTAAGAAAATTCACATTTGGTTGAGAGGCAATACAGTTTGGTATAAGTTCACTGACATTTTGGAACATACTGCCTTCATCTGCAGGGCCTGAGAGCCAAGCAAGCAAGACATAAGCAGAGTGACTCCACTTTCTGCTTGTTTGACTTATTCTTTTAGTAGTTGGAGGCATATTTTCCTCCAAAATGTTGTGTAAACTGCTACTAGATGGCATGGCATTAAATGCTGGAAGAAAGTACTCTTCTTAGACTTTGTTGTGGAAATCTCAAGTCTCCCATGTGTGGTTGCTTTGCATTAGTCTCTAGCTCATAACAACAACCATATATTTGATGAGCTAGGATTGCCAAGTCAGTTAGAAGTCAGTCCTAGAAGCTAAGTGGAGTTAGATTCCGTGTATGGACAAAGATTCTCTATTTTCTGTCATATCCAAACTGTCTCTTGGGCCTAATCATGGATGCCAGGGGCCACATCCATGGAAGTAGAGCAGTGTTGGCATGAAGCTGACCATTCACCTCCAACTATTGCCAAGGTTTAGAATTATGTAAAATTTTACCTCCTTGCCATCTAACACTTCAATGCTAAGAAGTATACAAACACTGGACAGAAATAAGGATGGTTACCTAAAACACACAGCGAACAGGGAAACTACGAGGACCTTGCTTTATCAGTCTTTAATTATTATTCCCTTATTAGCCTATGGGAAGGATAAGGCACCCATGGCTCTGATGTTGCCCACAGCTATATTTAATTATGCCAATTTTAATTACCTGTTATTATTATTTTTATTTCATCCATAGCTGTAGAGAATTATAATTGGACATGTCAAACATCAACAACATCACATCAAAAAAAAACATAACATTCACACAGTGATTCATACTATAATACAGCAATACATTTTTAACTTAATTTAAGAATAACAAATACTCCAAAAAAAGACATAAGAATAAATATTTTAAACATATAGACAGATTTATTAACAAGCAGTTTACGTCAAAAATTAATAATAATATATACTCCAAAAAAGGCATAAAAATATACAGACAGATTTATCAACAAACAGTCCATGTCAACAATTATTAAAAAATTCTTGAAGAGAATAGAAGACATTACACAACAAATAATTCTTAAGTTTCTTCTTAAAAACATTAAAATTTTTAACATTCTTTAATTCAGTTGGAAGGACATTAAATATTTTGGTTCCCATACTAATCACCCCTCTCTTGCTATGCTCAGTATTACAAAATTGTACAAATTGTACCTAAAACGGTTTCAGTTATGAAGCTATAGAAACTTTTTTTTCTGTGTACATATTTCTGACACCAATAATGGCTAATCCATAACAATCTGCACCTGCTGCCTCGAGACAAGAAGATCCATGCAGGAAATTCCTTCAAACCATTGGTACCCCTGTACCAAACAACAAGGTTCAAATCCCAGAAAACCATAATCACAACAATCACCACCGTGATAACCCAAAATCTCAAAGAGCACATCCAGCAACTCTTTTAATAATAATAAAAATTAAAAAAAAAATAATAGTAATAAAAAAATAAAAAATAAAAACTCAGTTACCAAAATAGATTTCAGCTAAGTCAATAATGACTGGCTACAAGCTAGATGGTAAAGTTTTAATTCTGGGTACAGGCAGGAAGTCTCTTGTTTGTCATCATGCCCAGCCTCCTATCTGCCAGGTATCAGGAGTAAATCATTCAGAACATAAGTTGGTTACTCCTCTCTATCTGGAGCAGATATTAATAATGTATGGAGCTTTAGCTCCATGCCTTTTAAACATCATAATGATATTGTGCTTATGCACATTCATTCATTCATTCATCAGTAATCTGTCAAGACGACAGGTCCACAGTCTCTTCCAAAACAGTTCCTCCACTTAATGCAATCTAGAGCTTTCTCCTTCAAATGACAATTTCCTCTTCGTTCCCAAGGTCATCCAGCATCTTCTTACGTCTTCTTCCTCGTCTTCTTGTCACTTCTATCCGCCCCTCTATCTTTCCTTCAATAACTTCTTTTAGAAGGCAGTTACTGGGTAAGATATGACCAATCCAATTAGCCTTCCATTTTCTTATTTCGTGTAGGATATTCCTCTGCTCACTGACTCTACATAACACTTCTTCATTTCTCACATAATCGGTCCAACTGATCTTCTCCATCCTTCTCCAACACCACATTTCAAAGCTTTCCAGGTGTTTCTGATCTACTGCCCTAAGTGTCCAAGTTTCAGCCCCATACAAAGCAATGCTCCAAATGCACAGGAGGAAGAAAAAAGCGAAGTCGCCTTTGAGTTTCACTAAACGTCGTGCAAGGCAGACATAAGAAGGGCACAGGTACAGTCCACACATTCCTAAGGTTGGCACTAGGCAGAGATACGTGATCAGCATCATACTGCCTCTGTCAAAAATCAAACCCTGATCACCCAGTACTTGGCACAGCCATTATACTGAGTGAACTGTTTGCCAGAATTGATTAAAAAGTATTTTCATCCTCATTTCACACATCTGCTCTTGCTCCCTCCCCTCACACAAGTGCACAAGCATGTGCATGTGTGTGCGTGTGTCTATATATACATGTAAAACAACGTACAGCTGCTGGAAGTGGAATAGCAAAGTCCTCTGGTGCTCCTAGCTGATCTGCAGTAACACCTGCTGATGCCAGCTCCTTCACTAGGCCAAGTATTTGTGCATCATCTTCATTATGCTTGTTGCACACCATTTGGAACACCAGGTCATGTAAGCGGCTCATAATGAAGCTACAGTCAACAGAAACCAATTCAGCTAATTACAGATCACAGAAATTAAATTCATAATATATATTGGAAAATTAACATAAAAAAGGCCATGTGATTACTAAAAGAAATAAATTCTGGACTCTGGAATCTAGATGTTCAATTCCACACCACACCCCATGAACCTTAATTCAGGTTTTCCTTGCCAATTCACCAGTCCTCTATACTTACGTACAGAGGTCAATAAATGTCGACTCAGTTCACTGTCAAGGTGAAATTCTACTAATCAGGTATTTTTTCATAAGAGAAACTGCTTCTACCTACACTACTGTTATGGCTCCACATCAACATACAACATATGTAACATACAGGACATACAATGCTGTCCTTTCTATATTGTGGCATATTCACTCAAAGCAAGAATCATTGAGTAACAGTCAGCCATTACTATGCAGTGACCTATAAACAACATAGGAATGCTGTTGATAAGCAAGATGAGACAACTGCTTCAAAAGTGGGATTTTGAGTACAAATACTAAACTTACATTTTACAAAGCTCTTATTAGGTTATTTATGACTTATGCCTGTCTCATCTGAGAGTATGCAGTAGGCGCTCACCTTTTGAAATTGAAGTGCCTGCAGAACAGAGTACTCTGTGCTACTGGAAATCTTGACAGGTGCACACCAGTCAACAATTTGCATGTGGCTTTCAAAATTCCTTATGTGCATCACTGTACCACTAAATTATGCAGTACACAGGCAGAATTAATCCTAAACCATGTAAATCCAAATGTACATGATGTTGGATGAGGGGAAACCAGGCATAGGAAGTATAAGAGGCTTAAACTTGGCGGCAGTCAGGCCTACAACTCTCTAGCTGACTAAATGCAGTTTCAGAGTAGTTATATAAGTGAAGGCATTACCTGTTGCACAAGCCTGGATTGACAGGAAACCTCTGTATACCATGTACAAATGTTACATAGTCCAGTGCAGTGTCAAAGGATGCACAGAGTCCATAGTGACTTGAACACCATGACAGCGTGCTTATACTTGTGCTGAAACTACAGTGCAATATAGCACCTACACAGAAAGACCAACGCCTGATTTGTCAAAGAGAAGCCCCAATTTTGAAACGTGTACATGTATTAGAGAATAAAAATCTTGGTCATGGATCTCGAGGGGACTGAAGCCAGGAATGACTGTGCTGGTGAAGGCCAGCAGCAATTTAACTGACCGACCACTGGGGTTCAGTAATTGTAAGCTGCTGCTGTCAGAAGCTGACAGCTGAGGCTGGGGACAGTTTGGGAGCCCAGAGGAAGGGGAACATAACAGACTGAGAAGACCTAGTGTATCTTATGGTAATTGTGAAGTGTGTAAACAGTCAAAGCATAATCCTTACATGTAATTATGAGTTGTAAGAGTTCAATAAATCCATCTACAGTCACTAAAATAGACAATATAATATGTAAACAAGATATAACTTAATGTTTGATATCTGAAGAGGGATAATAAAAGAAATTAGGACAGTATATTAACTAACTAACTCCATGGAGCTGAGCCCTCCTTCAGAAATTTCCACTTGTGCAGATACTCAAGAACTTCCCAACATTTTATGGAACCCGAAAGTTCATTACCATGTTCACAAGAGCCTTCCACTGGTCCCTATTCTGAGCCAGATCAATACAGTCAACCCCATCCTCTCTCTTCCTGAACCAGAAAGGGGAAAATATTATTGAACAAATTAAGAGACTTTTGCCATTTATTGGCTGTGATTTTTCACCTGTTTTGGATGATGAGTGAGATGTGTTTGGTGAATATTGCTAATGTAACATCAATGCTGAGGTGAAAAATAGGTCAGACTAACAAGCATTATACCTTGACATTAGTGATCAGTTTGAGATCTGTCTCTGATCCAATGTTTGGTTAGACTCAAGGAAATTATTTATTTCTGAGAAGGAACGGCATCAAATAAGGTAATAAAAAATATAACAGAACTAAACATATAGAATTATCTCTTATTATCTTTTTATCTCAACCTTACAAAAATCCACACTCTTACTGAAGTTTTTATTTAGTTGTTCATAAAATGTAAAATATACATGGTCTGACAATAAAGTTCACGAACTCATCATGGTAAAAGTGAATTTATGAATATCACTGTGATCGCCTTCAAAGTACTCCCCTTGGGAAGCTATGCACCGACACCAGCGCCTACTCCACCCTTCAAAACAATTTTGGAACTGGTTTTGTGGAATGTCATCAAAATGCCTTCCTTTCAATATTTACTTTATTTTTGGAAACAGAAAAGAAGTTATTAGGGGCTAGATCCAGTGAATAGGGAACGTGTTCCAGTACAATTATATTATGTTCACTAGCTAAAAAATCCCCAACAGACAGTGCTCTAATTCAAGCTCCAACATTCTTGCGATAGCACACCAAAACACACTCAGACAATGATATACGCCACTCAGAAAGAGACTGCCACAGATTGACAACAACACAGCTGTGAAATGCTGATATGCCAAAGTCATCAAACCATACTGAGGTCCACTGCTGCCATGGCAAGCAGATGGCAAGTTTGCGAATTTGTCAGACCCCGTATACACACAGTCCTCATGTTAAATTTTATACAAAACTGGCCTTAAAACATGTATCCTTCTAAGAGAGCTCAAAATTTTCAGAATGCCATATTTAACCCACAATGCTGTTCAATGGCACAGCATTCTCACAAAGTCTAAAAAAAAATCTACTTCTGAAAGTTATTACGGAACACATGCATACAGACAGATTACATAACCTTATAAAATATTGTAAACATGTGTAATCAAATTGAACATTTTCCTAATGAATTCTTTGCTATTTCACATATGTTTCTAACCTTGACATTCACATACTGCAGATATCAATCTACTGTTGCAAAGATAGTAACACTACAGATAATATACTGCACTCAGAAATTTTTGTCCTTCTAGTTTGTTAAATATTCACCATAGAGAGAAATGTTTGAAATAAAAGTCAACTGTATCTTAAACCATGTACTAACTCTGTATGATGAAACATTTTTTGATGAATCTGAAAAATGTAATATATTTCTTATTAAAGCTGGGATCATAATTGGTGTCCAAATTAAATTAAATTTACCTAATAAGTTTATATGTGGATCACTCAGCATCAAATTTTATTTATATCTGAACTGGTTTCAGAGATGAATTTGGTATGTAGAGAGAAGGACATAACATTATGAATATGCATTCCTTTTGTGCAACTGATGCAAAAAGAAAAGATATTGACAGACTTCATAAGTTCTAGAAATGAAATAAACTAACTTCTCAAGTGAAATGCTAAGCAAGTTCTGGAAGTGGGCATCTCTTTGCCTGTCCAATGGGTGTGTCTTGAGGAGAGTCATCCAATAGCAGCTCATTGTATCATGTACTTTTTCTCTCACAACTTGCAGAGAGTCAGACAGCAATGAAGAACAGAGCTGCTGTAATTCTGGGCCCAATTTAATCAGTACCTCTATATGAACTGGAAAGTGAGTGAGGAATCCAACAGCACTACAAAAGAAAAATACCATACCTCAAATACATTCCATCCATGAAAGCATTACAACTGAGATTACTACATAGAATTAATACCTCCATATTTATACACTGTGGTACATGTCACTCACTAACACAACACAGAGAATGCAAACATTCATCCAACAAGATTAAAAAAAACAGATGATAGTTTGTCTTAGATTAACAGTACTTTCTCAATTGCACAAGATCTATGACAGAAGAAGAGGACACTGCAGAAAAGTGCATTAGCTTCATGATTTGTCCATTTCACCAAATACTATTAGATTGATCAGCACGTGGTAGCGTAGTTGGTTAAGGCACTATGCTACAAGCCAGAAGGTCACGGGTTCAAGTCCCGATGAGGTCACTGGATTTTTTCAATTGACCTAATTCTTTCAGCCGCACTATGGCCCTGGGGTCAACTCAGCCTCTAACAGAAATGAGTAGCAGGAATTAATTAAATAATTTTTCTGGGGAGTAGAGCGTGGCTGGCGCGTAGGGCTGACAACCTTGCCGCCATCTATGAGCCAATTGTCTAGATAATGTGGGGCCCTCAATCTCTCACAACCCTATGGGCCTTCACTGCCTGTTACAGGGACAGCTTTACTTTTTTTTTTACTTTACTATTAGGTTGCTCAAATAAAAGAGGTAGACAGAAAATGTGATATGCATGCAAGGGATGAAAAACTTATGATCAAAATCCTGAATGAAAGAGATTATATTTAGATGGGAGGAAAATATTAAAATGGATCTTAAGAACCATGGTGTAAGGATAAGGTCTGCATTTATACGTCTCAGCATAAGGACAAGTGGCTGGATCTTGTGAATATGGCAACAAACCTTTGGGTTCCATAAAATGTGGGTAATTTCTTGATTAGGTGAGTGACTGTTAGCTTCTCAAGAAGGAATCTGTGACATGTAGTTGGGTGGTCGGTTGGTCAGTCGATCGATCAGTCAGTCACAAGTCATATAGTGTTCACTGTGAACAGTGAATTAGGAAGACTGTGAAAGAAAATGGTCAAGGCCTAATATAAAGCACTATCACCGAATTCACTTGGAGGGACTGAAGAAAACCATAGAAACTGCCAACCAGTACACTGGGCCTCTGGGCTGAGAATTGAAACCAGAAACCTCCAAATACAAAGCAAGAGATTTTATCATCTGACAGTGACATTTGGTTGAGCTATGTTTTCTGCTCGGATGACTCAGGAGTAGTGCATCTGCCTCATCACTTGTTTACCATTATCCCATCATTCCGTGTACCATGTAATTTCCCATTCCTCCCTTGTTTAGAAAGGAAGACCTCTGTCAGTGTGGTGTGAGATATGAGGGCAGTAGTTGCTTGCCAGCAGTCAGGCAAAGTAGGTCACTAAATTCTGTTTCCACTAGTCATTCCAAATGGTGTTTTGACTCTTCGCTCCATCCGGTGAGAGCAAGGGCCCTCCTCATTGAAACAGTATGTAAGTTTTTTCATTATGGGATGTTGTAAGGAGAATTTTTGTTTTGTATTATATTATTATCTGTTTTGGCTTGCTAGTGCCCCATTTAGGGCTGCTACTTAACCATAAAATTGGGTATTCAGTTATTCAGTATTAGAGGGGGTGGGTTTCCCCATGCATTGCGACTAGTAGTCCATTGTACGTCCCCCTTTAATTTCTACTGTCGCCATACCCTACCGATACTGGTGCTCACTATCTCCCCTTTCTGCCAGCGAGGTCGGCCCTTTTCTGGCAGTGGTACCCGATAACTTCCCCATCTATGGGAGGTAATGGAAACTACTTGGGCGGGAAACTTTTTGCCTAATTTTTCTCAGAGGTCTCCTAGAGACATGAGGATCTTTTACGTGCCGTGAATCTAGGACACGGGACCCACGGCTTAAAGTCTCTCCTGGATGACTTGTTCCCCGAATTTTTTCGCCCTTAAAAATTCCACGACCTCCGCCGGGTTTGAACCCGAGTACCTTGAGACATGTGGGAACGTTACCCCTAGACTATGGAGGCCGCTATAAAATTGGGTAACACTGCTATCTATGTTGTTTTGCAATGTTACATGAGCTTTGGTCATTTTCTAGGTGTGGGGTAGGTAGACGGTTCCATGTGGTTGCTGTATAATTTTTTGGTTTTCAGGCTGAACCGACCAAAACGTTCAAGGGCATAGTTTTGCTGCAAATGTATATGTGAAGTACTGAAGTAATGGTTTGAGCCTTATTTATTTTTTATTGTTACTGTTATTGTGTGTCCTGAATTTAGGTTTAACTGATAATTGAACTAATTACGTGTGTAAAATCCTTATGCTATACAGCAAGTGCCATTACATAGTGAAAAGGTGGGGGTGTGATGTGCTGTAAGTCCATACCAAATCACTGGCCCCTTATTTTTCCACGAAACTGTGAACTCTGACTGCTACATTAATGATATACTGAATCCATTCTTTAATCAGCTGACTGCTGAAGAAAGACAATATGGGTATTTTCAGCAAGACACAGCACATATGGCTAATGCATCCATGGTCGCAACATGGGAAATCCTTCAAGACAAAAGTAATCATCAGGGGACTGTGGCCTCCCAGATCTAAGTTTATGCGATTTTTATCTTTGGGAAAACCTAAAGTGAAAAGTCTTCAAGAATAATCCTTCCACTGAAACTCTGCAGAATGAAATAACACACGTAATTAGTTCAACTGCCATGGGCCAACTTCAGAAAGTATCGCATAATTTATTTATGCAATGCAAGGCATGTTTGCAAGCAGAAAGGGGTCACTGCCAACGCCTGTTACAAAGCACGGTGAGTTTGTTATTTTTTTACATTATTCCTATAAATGTGTGCATGTATAGAAACTGATGTGGGAGAATCAGCGACAGGACTGCACTCTCTCTAGTGGGGAAGAGCACAGTAGTCGCAGAGAAATGATCCATCAGCTCTACGCTAGCGAGACTGTGCACGTTCATCAGCGCTGATGACTCATTCCACTATCGGCAGTTACAGCAGCAATCTGTGAGAAATGTTGTATCCAACCCACGCCACTTCCCTGGTTTCCTCAATAGCTGAACGCACTGTAGTAGAGTACACAGAGAAGGGGAGGAGCTGCTAATGGTCAACTAAGTTAGGTAAAACAGTAACATATATAATTTGAACTTGGAAGTATCCCATTCAAATCCCAGCTGGGGACCAGATATCCTGAGGTTTTTCATTATTTTTCATAGTCCCTCATGGAGAACAATGGGACAGTACCTTAAAACCTGCCCATGAATTCTTCCTTTCATATCTTTCTTAAGCATCTTAGTTATATATCCTTCCATGTCACATTTCATGTTACATATCCTTAACAGATGACACACATTTAAGTTTCAGAACACCAGAATCCAAACCCACTTCAGTCTTCACAAAGTCTAAAACTATGTGTGTCTTAACTCTTACCATCTGGAAAAAGATATCCTGGCACTAAAGGACTAGTGGCGAGATTTAAACTCAGATGTAATAGTATATTAGCACTGAAAAAACATCATGCTTGGACATCTGGAATGCATACATGCGCCATTACAACAATGCAATGCACAACCAATAATAAAGCTTAAACCAAGCAGTCGACAGGAAATTTATTTCCTTCCAAATCTTTAATAGGATTAGGATTATCCTAGATTGGTACATACTGAATACAGGTTGAGTTTTCAAACATTTCTAACTGGTTATATTTGATGGAAATACTATTCACTTATGTAAACATCAAAATATGTTATATCTCATGTTATTTTGATATGGTGCTTACAGAATCTCACACACAAAATTTAATTCTGTGGGATGTTCCTTTGAATTGAACATGTACAACTACGGTGACACATCTAATAACAAGAATAATTTTCATAAATGGAATATAAGACATTTAGGTCTGGTTGTCCTACTAGTATAATGTAGTACAACACAATCTTACTCTGCAAGTGAATTTATTTTTCTCAGTTGTATACCATCATCTTCTACTGGTTGTGATTGATATTTTGGACTCAGTGGTTTATCTGTGATCAAAATCTTATATTGCTGATATTCCTGGAGAAGAAGAAAAAATAGTTTGTTAGTTTCTGTTTCATCATAACTCTGGGAAGGAAGATTAACTCCTTCCCTTGTCTCCGAAAATAATGCCAAGGCTCAGTTATCCTTATCCTGGCTTTTGTAGGAGTCCATGCCATAACTAATGAGTTTTTTTGTGGATACTGCTGAGATCTTCAGGATAAGATCTGAACTATGAGAACTTTTAAACTGAAAAATTGGGCATTATACCTCGTGAAATTTAAATTCTTCTGACTATTTCAACTAGACTTCCTGTATAATGACAAAAAATTGATCATAAATGGTTTGTTAAAATGTTCTGCAATTATGGGTACGTTTTAATGCCCAGTGTGCCATATGAGGGGTTCACATTAATCTTACTATCGATGAACATCCAGCATGCTAGGAAACAGGTTAAAATTATCTTAGCACTAAAAAGTGACCAGTTGGTCAGGAAAAAGGTTAAAATTATCTTCTGAGGACTGCCCAGGATGCTGAGAAATGAGTTGGAATTAATCTCACAATTACACAATAATCAGCAATCCAGTACATGGTCCTAAATTATGTTACTACTGAAGAACACCCAGCATGCTACATAACAGATTACAATCACCTTACAAGTCATGAATTCCCAGCATACTGTGTTCATTATTACTCTTGAAACTCAAGAATATCTAGCATGCCAGTAAATGGGCTCAAATTAATATTATTAGTGAACAGCATCCAGCATGCTAGGAAAGAGATCAAAATTACCTTGCTACTGAAGAATATCCAGTATGTCAGGAATTGGTTTAAAGTTTCTACTGCCACAGAAACTGTAAAAGTAATAGTTATCTTGGTACCTTCTAAACATATTACAGGAGTGCTAACAGGTTGACCACAATGATGAGTCACTCAGATCAATTCGGGGAGCAGGGTTAAGCCCAGTCCAGCTTAATAGAAACAGTAAACATGATAGCTGCACAGTAATGTCAATGTCTATGGATTGCATACCCTGGATATGATTCCTTGGAGGACCTGATAGATTTCTCTCTACCACAATTTTCAAATTAACTCAATTTCCTATTTATTTTTTAGTGCCAGACAGATTGTCATGTTGACCACTTTCTCCATCCAGTGCAAAATTTAAGAATCTATGGATCTTTATCCCCACATCACCTATATGCTTCCATGGTGTGATGTTTAAGCACAAAACTATCTTACATTAAATTACCTTGTTATATCCACTTTCAACAGACAATATTTTCACTGCATATTTTTCTGCAATTTGAACAGGAGCTTTGTGTAGTATGAGTGAATCACCATTTAACTCAAAAATATGGCTGCTACCCTCATCTGTGCTAGCATAATGGCTGAAAATAAATTAATTCATAAATTAAAGTTACCTACAAATTAATATCCATAAACCAGACACTGAATAGCATCAAATAATTAATATATGCAAGAACAACAGGAAGCATACCTTGAAAACGAAGGTGATGGTCTGAGAATATGGAGTTCTGAAATAAAAATTAGAGAACATTATTTTCAAGTAACTGTTACTTTTAACAACACAATCATAACACAAATGTATGGCACCTCACCTTTCTTGAAAGCTAACGAACTACAGTCTCATCACAATTTAGTTTTCCCTTATATCAGCACCCATCCCAGTCCACCTCAAAACAGCATTAGCTGACAGTGACATCAGTGTTGTCCATGTTAAAACTGCATTGACCAACTATCATATATCATATATCATATGATGGCCAGGCACCACTGCCACCTGTTATGTTTTATCTGCAGGCACTGTTCCATCACCACACTGTTCCTAACATTTCCATACTTCAATGTTTGGAGGTGCAATCTGACAATAGTGCTACCTTCTTCTGCCAGAGTTGGGGGGGGGGNTGTAACCCCATTGAACAGGGTCCTTCTTGAGAAGTCACTCAGCTAGTGAAGAAATAACCTCCCAATTATGGAATCAGGAGATTGATTAACATGTTCACAAATGCTGCCATTGGTCTCTACACTGAGTCAAATTAATCCAGTCTACACCTCCCACTTCATTATTTGAAGAATGATAATATTATCCTCCCATTAAAATGTATGTTTCTTTCTTAGAAAACTTTAATGTAAGTATAAGAAGTAAAGAAAACAATAAGATTAATAACATACAACTGAAATCTTGCACATGAAATTCAACACTGCATCCTTTTCACCTTTTTAAAAGTTTTTCTTATTGTGCTAAAGATAATTAATCTCCACCAAATTAGCCTACTGGCATCTTTCTTTTAAGAAATGAGCTCTGAGAGAGGTTAATAAATCTTTAAAAATGTGGAAAATTTCAAATACATAATTAACACAGGTAAAGGTAAAGTTGGCCGGTCACAGTAGCCGAGTGGTCTAAGGCATGTACTGTCTTTGCTCGCTTGGAAACCGGGATCGTGGGTTCGAATCCCACTCAGGGCATGGATGTTTAGTTTGTGTGTGTGCATTTTTCTCTGTTTGTGTACAGGTAGAGGCCTTGCGACAAGCTGATCACCTGCCCAAGGAGTCCTACCGAATGTGTAAGATCTAGAAAACTTTAATTGTTTCTTGCATCCTGTTGTGTATTTAATTAATATTAGAGTCAATTTTACTGACTACGCAACATATTTTTATTATTACTACACTACATGTTTCGACCTCAAGAGGTCATCCTCAGGTGTACGAACACAGCTGTATAATTATGCGCAATGACATTCGTCTTTTCACTTATTCGATCCTGTATCTTATTCAGGCCCACACTCAATAATATATCAAGTTCCTTTCACAAAACACAAGTTAAAATATTATTCTAAATGATAAAAGTTAAAATTTAAAATTTGCGAATCAAATTTCGATTCAGATCACTAGTTATGCTTTCACTTTCACTTGTTATTCAGTCACTTCCTACTTACACTCATCACTGCGTCAAGTAAAACTAGTAAATGTGAACTTGATGCAGTGATGAGCGTAAGTAGAGAGTGACTGAATAACAAGTGAAAGTGAAAGCATAACTAGTGATCTGAATTGAAATTCGATTCACAAATTTTAAATTTTAACTTTTGACATTTAGAATAATATTTTAACTTGTTTTGTGAAAGGAACTTGATATATTATTGAGCATAGGCCTGAATAAGATACAGGATCGAATAAGTGAGAAAACGAACGTCATTGCTCATAATTATACAGCTGTGTTCGTACACCTGAGGATGACCTCTTGAGGTCGAAACATGTAGTGTAATAATAATAAAAGTATGTTGTGTGGTTGGTAAAATTGACTCTAATATTAAGATCTAGAAAAACCGAAGTGAACGGAGAAGTTCATGGAGGTAGGCCTAGGCCCACTGGGGCCGTAGTGCCACGGGGAAAAAGAAAGGTAAAGTTGTCCCTGTGCTTAACTAATTAAGCACTATGCCATGAAGGCTTATGGGGGAGTGGATGTATGGATCCACATTTTCTTGACCTCAGCACTAGATGGAGGTGAGTGGTCAGCTTCATGCACCTGCCATTTTAACCAGGGAAAAAAGCCTCCAGTATCCATTGGATAGGAGGTTGGGTCGACCCCAGAGCCAGTCTGGATGACATGGAGAAAAGAAAATTCTTCACCATACTGGGACTCGAACTCCGACGACTCAGTCACCCAGCCATAGCCAGTCGCTATACTGACTATGCTATCCCGACTCCTATATAGTTAACATAAACTGAAATTATGCACAATAAATTTAAAAAAATATCAATATGAGGAAACGCTTGTGACTACTCTATCCAGAATCCTTCTTCATCCAAGTCCTATCTAAAATCTATAGATTAGAATACATAGAAGTATGGTTTTACTTCTTTTGTACGGGTGTAGAAGCACAGTCTCTCTGAGAGAAGACTCGCAGATTAAAGATTACCAGGAACAATATGAAGAGAAAATTACTTTAAATCTAAGAGACACTAAGTAACACGGTATTAGAGAAAATTACACAGTACTGAATTACATAATCCAAAATCTGCACCTATTACAGTTAAATCAAGAAGTGTGTGATAAAAACTGGTCTCACAAACAGTAAACAAAGTGTTTCATATAGTAACACATAGACACGGAAACTGGGAGTAGTGGGGGAGGGTATGCAAGTCAACCTACACATAATACTACACTGCACTCCAGTGTTCAGACTCTAACATCCTGAATACTTCCAGGATCTTTGCATGTTTGCAAATCTAATTCAACTGAAAATTTTAATACAATAATCAATACATGAGTTGGCTAAAATAAAAATGTTCAGCAATTTCTTCATTAATAAAGTTGAAATTCTTCATTAATAAAGTTGAAATATCTCCTAGCCTCCATCTGTTTTTACATCTTGTGTAAACAGTGTAAAATCTTAAATGCCTCAGACACTGAAATTTGCATTGTTTTGAGGAAAATGATCTCCTTAATATATGTAGCTTGGATGGTGAACAGAAAAAAAATCAATGCAGAGTGAAGGACAACTCTTCACAGGGGGATATCAAACTTGTGTGTCTGGTTATCCCTATGCATTATATGAATCCCAATTTAAACCAGTCTTGGAGTTACAGTAACAACTCTCCAGTAGCAGACAAGAACTATGGATGAACAAGGTCGAGGATACCTGTTAAATTGTTGATAACAGACTACATACCTACAAATTCCTCTGTAATGTTAAGCCCTCGTAATGCTCTGGAGCATGGAACACAAATCATCCAGCATCTAGATAAAGCTTGTTCATATTTCCTTCTAAATTTATTCTGTAAAATAGCATTTAACTCTATTACCACTCACACATTCACTAAAAATTCTTTACCTTGGGTTTTCATTCTAACAACATGAAATAACCACAATACCTGCAAAGTGTGATAGTATGCATTGTACTCTATTTCATCTGTGGCCATTTTAATTGTTTTCTAATAAATATATTACGAATTTATAACATCACATTTAACTTAACATTGTCATTCGTCATCCTTCGTCGTTTAACCATTGTTAACACATTCTTTACCCCTTAGATAGCACTGAAATGTTGGCGACACTGTAACAATTCACCATCAGATTATATGACAATCTGAATGATCTGAATGTCCTCACTGGGGAAAATTTAATAACGTTCTAAATTGCTCACAGTGTGCTTATGTATTCATTTTCTTGTGCAGTTAATGATTTTGTAAATTCTCTAGGTACCACATTTTGTAACGAAATCTGTGTACTGCCATATTATCTAAGGTTTTTCGCTGAGTAAGCTGGGAAGAATTTTCAGGACAGCATTTTAAAACAGTTCCTCACTATTTTTGTCGTTTGTGTCTCCTCATTATTAGAGTATTTCAATTATGGTTTGTCTCCATCTCTAGGGAATTGTGCGGATTATGAACTCAGGAGCTCTTACTGGGAAGTGCTGAGTTTTTCGGTGTTCATGTGACAATCAGTCAGGCGGGTAATTCTTTCTTCTGCTGTGACAAGGATTATACTGTCACGTTGCTATACTAATTAAACTGTTCTTTCTGTCGTCCTAGGTCGTTCTAGATCGTTCTACATCATGTTTTCTAGGACTGAAACAGCATGCTTATCTTGGTAAACGCTCACGGGTCATTCTTTCTTTCCGGTGCTTCTACATTTATCTCGTCTCACCAGCGTCATTATTTCGACACAGGTAAATTTATTTATACAATGTTGACCATTTTGATCGATCTTGTTTGTTCCAAATATTGTTTAATATGGCGTTGAAGTTGTATTCCTGCAGCAAGCCAGGTAACTTAGTAAATAATGTGCTAAAAATTCTAAGCACATATTTATAATCATATGCCTTAAATTATTTTATTCATTATTTGTTTGGTTTGTAGAGTATAAATTCGCTTAGTGGGGGGTGGAGTCCAACTGGGTCCAATCGTCACGGCGGCCACTGATTGGCCTATTGTACCAGCCCCGGGTGATTATGATGATGGAGAATTTGGTGGAATGAAGACTGGCAGGGGAAACCGAAGTACTCGGAGAAAACCCGTCCCAGGGCCACTTTGTCCATCGGAAATCCCACTTGACCCAACCCGGGCCGCCGCGGTGGGAAGCCAGCGACCAACCGCTTGAGCTATGGCTCGGCCTTTGTAGAGTATAAGGCAGGGATTTCTGCTAGCCAAATTATAGCACTCCGATTTTCTGATTTTGTATAAATATTTATGAACCATTGTGTTAAATTTACATACCACAGTTTGCCTTATTTTGCAGTCCCACAAATTTTGAGCTGTCTGACAAGGACACCTGTAGTATGTAATACGCGAAATGCATATAAATATGTCAACAACGAAGAACGCAGCATGGATATGAAGGATATTACCGATAGAGCTGCACAGACTATGCTCTTTACAGAAATTTTCAGAGGTAAATGTACTCAGTTTTGGCATGAAATTAATAATTATACATGGGGGAAAAAAAGCAGGCCATAATTCTGTATCATCTTAGGATTAGGAGTCACTTTGGGACATATCTTCAAAGAACCAGCTACAATCAATTACCCGTTTGAGAAAGGGCCTCTAAGCCCCCGCTTCCGAGGTGAACACGCATTAAGGAGATATCCTTCAGGAGAGGAACGGTGTATTGCCTGCAAGCTTTGTGAAGCTATTTGTCCAGCACAGGTATGACACAGAATGAAAGCCTTATTAAGTAATTGGATTCAGTTTGCTGTATTTTGACCGTGATAAGTACGAAAACAATCGTGTGTGTATGTAGTACTGATTTATTTGTAAGTAGAACCTGTTTATGCTTCATTAGGCCATCACCATAGAAGCTGAAGAAAGGGCTGATGGAAGCAGGCGAACAACTCGATATGATATTGACATGACTAAATGTATATATTGTGGATTTTGTCAAGAAGCTTGTCCAGTTGATGCTATTGTAGAAGTAAGTAATATTATTAAAGTGGTTATAACATATTAACTGAATCAGTATGCAAATAAGTCACAATTGTTTAATTTATAAATGTACTTTATTTTCAGGGTCCTAATTTTGAGTTTTCAACAGAAACCCATGAAGAACTTCTGTATAACAAAGAGAAGTTGTTAAATAATGGTGACAAATGGGAATCTGAAATAGCAACTAACATCCATGCTGATCATCTGTACCGATGAAAACATGAGGCAACGTAGACTGCCATAGATTGGCACCTGGTTATTGTGTGCCCTTGCTTGGTTTCTATTTCATTTTGCCTTTAAAGCATCATCTGCATATTAGAAAACTTATATACCAACTACATCAAACAGGAAGGTATTAGTGCATATGAATATTATGTTTCAACACTTTTTATGAGATGGAGGAGTAACACCTTATAAATAAGAGGATTTAAAAATTTGGCTTCCAGTTGAAAGAAGTCCATGTATAAATTGTACAGATATATGAGAATAAAATTATTCATGAAGCAGTCAGTGGAAATGGCTTTCTTATATTTTTTGTTTGGCCATTTTTTGTATAATAAATCATTCAAACAGCCATACCAATTTGTGTATGGGAAAATGTTTAACATTTTCATATATAAGAAATAATTTTTATAGGTTTCTTGGGAATTCAGTAAATATAGGTATGAAAAGGGAAACATGTTTTTGAAATGCAATGAAATAAAATGGTTGATTCTATGTAAAAGTAAAACAGTAAAGTTTTATTCATTAAATTTATTGGCAGTGGCACAGCCACTTCAGCGAAGGTAGAGTACAAACATTCCAACATTTTGGGTCAAAAACATTAAACACAAATCTTCTTCAGAATTTGAAATACAAAGACATTTCTCTTACATTGGTGTCTTCACAAATATTATGCAGAGAAACCTGACTGCAAATTATAAATGAATGAGCACATTTCAGATAAATATTACATTTTCAATTTGTAGGCTTGTTCCATTAATGTACAGTTCACTTCATTCCAATTATAAATTACATGTGGGAGTGCAAACAACTAATGCCAAAGTGTGCAACACTTAACAGGTATTCTTGACAGATATCATTTTGATGATTTGCATAGTTTGCAATACACAAGAAAATATCAAAATTCAAGTCCCCTTGGAAACCTTGATAAAGTTAGAGAAGACTATGTAAAAGTACAACTAATGACTCAAAATCAGATGCCCAGCTCTCTGCAGATATAAACCTTTGAAACAGAGTTCTGTGAGAAGGGTCGATCATCTAGGAGTCAACCCAGTTGTCTAGAAGTAGATTATGAGTTGATTAGCCATGGCTCCAGATAATAAAGGGAACCTTCTTTATATTTCATTTCACTACCCTCTGCAGTAAGAAGTACAAAATCTTGCTTACTCTATAAGGTAAACCTTCCTGAATGACTGAAAATGTTAGTAAATTATAAGACAGCTTTCAGTGTAAATGTATGGATTGCTCGCTTATTTACTCATGGAGCTGAGCCCTTCTGGAGGAGCTGCCAATTCTGCAGCTACTCAAGAATTTTCCAGCATTTTATGGAACCCGAAGGTTCATTACCATGTTCACAAGAGCCCTCCACTGGTCCCTATCCTGAGCCAGATATATCCAATCCATACCATCCCATCCTATCTCTCTAAGATCCATTCTAAAATTGTCCACTCCCTATCTGAGGAAGAAGAGCTTAAGATCATTAATATAGTTCTTGCTATGCTGATTGAATACGAAGATATCTGGGAGAGTTCAAACTCAAGCTTCGCGGGTACCACCAAGTATCCTGTTTAAATGTAACCTGAATGCCACCTGACACCCTTCCCACAAAGGAGTGCAGTGGAGCCATTGCTAGAATATAGAGCTGTGTGATAAACTGTCCATCTGGTATCTGGTTTTCTGTCATGCTCATTATTTCCTTCATCTTTGAGACAGGAGTTGTAATGATGACAGATACACTCACAGCCTTAGGCTGTTTCAAGCCCAACACTGCATAATCTTGGTCCATATAATTACATTTTTCTCAGCCCTTAACACTTAACACTGGATGTGTTGAACCGAACATATATTTCCAAAAAGATAGCAAGCTTCAAAATTGATTCTACAGAATGTCATGCCATCTTATATATCCCTGTTGAACAGTAATTTGGTGAGTCAGGTACCTCAGTCAGTATAGTCTCTAGGCTATGGGCTGGATGGCCAGAGAGCTGGGACTTCATTTTTCTTTGTCAATATGTCCAGACACTCTTTGGAGTCTACCCAGTGTCCTGTCGAATGGGTACTGGGGATAAAGTAGTTGGAACATGCTGTTAACCATTTACCCCACAACCTGAGGTTATCAGAAACTGGAGTTATACCTCCACTCACCTATACACAATTCCTGGTGTGGTGCTTAATTAAGCACAGGTCATCTTTGCCTTTATTTAATATGTAATTTGGCACAGTATGTTTAACAGAGACATCAGGTTTCATCAAACTGTCAAAATAAAGAAATTCAAAAACCAATATCTGAAACAAATGCCATTTATATCCATTCAGTTCTTCATTCAAAGCTGAGTCCAGAGTATTTGCATGAATAATTCAAGGAACCCTCCACTCAAACTCAAACACAGTTATGTATTCATGAACAGAACATAGTGTGCTTGAAATGGTTTCCAAACAACAACATAGTCTGGTAGCACTTTATTATTTTTAAAATACTTTTCCTTTCTTAAGGAAAGGAAGTAAGCTTAAGAGAACACCATACTGTCTGCATGTGCCCCCCACTTCACATTTTGAACCAACCTACTGGTTTTCACAGAATTTAATTGCAACAGTACCATTAGAGGCCAAATGTTTTGATTTCCTACGACCGGTAACAACATGGCAGACACAAATTTGTGTGGCAGGAGTGGCACCAGTGCCAGGATCCTGAATTGATATGTGACATTGACTTTAAAAAATATGCAACTTCTGAAAAGGTCATTTTCTTCACAGAATGCAAAACAAATTGGCAGCTGGATGAAATCTATACATATTTAGCCTTCAGTTTGATTAATGTAAATGATGAATCGCTTAACACGGTACAAAGTCTGCATTAAATTTTATTTATAAATCATCAGTTATAAACATGGCAATGATGCAGAATTTTGTGATTGTATCAGACAAATTTAATGTAGACAGACTCTGTACTGAATGCTAACTAATAATTTGTAACACAATTGCAGGCAGTACAAATCTGACTTTGCCATGATTGTATCCTACAACATGTATGCATGAATCCAGCAAACATAGCTTATAAGCTAAATTTAACATTATGGCTGGATTATCAGTTATCTGAATATGACTAGTGCCAAGATTTGTGGGACTGAAAGTCTGCAATAGAAAAGTAGGCTTTAAAAAGTTTACCCAGAACTTATTTTAATAGCTGTAATAGTTTGTTCACCTAAAACCTTGAACACCTTTAAATTTTGTATTTCATTGAGAATACACAAAGATGCATAAATTTTATTAATACAATTGTCTGAATGTTTTATATTAGCAGTATCAATGAGAATACACAATTACACATACTAAAGAGAAAATTAATTTCTTGAGAACTATGAAATGGCCATTTCCTACAGATGTACTTGACAACAAACAAATTTAATTTAATGTCTACCTTTTCAGTGTAAGACTTCTGTCAACCCTCCCAAAGCTATTAAATCAAAAATATAATTTCAGAGCACAATTTATTCCTGTTGCTAATACAGAAGTTAAACTCTTAAAAGTTTAAAAGGAACTCCACTAAATTTATAAAACAATACATTATTATTAGCCAATACACTGCCACACTGCAATATTCCCTCTGTAGCATTATCAAAATATTGTATCAGTGAAAAGGACATATGCATGAGCAGTGTGACATTGGACACTGGCTGACATCAGACAAAGGTTTACACACTACATGGGAAATGGATCATGCATTGTCTCTATAGTCTTGGTAATTACTAGAAAACTTTTAATGACACAGTCCTAAGTATGTGGAAACATGAAACTCTTTACTTTTCTGCTAATTCCTGTTTGAAATGTGCTTGCTGGTTTAACAAAGTTCTGCATATCACCACGGCAATTTCCTTCATCATAGCACTGAACAGTTGTTTCTCTCAGCATCACTAGTTTTGACAAGATACTGCTTTTACCTCCAAACACAATCCTGCTGTACATCAAGAATAGCAATTCATGTACTGTATGCGCTACACTATTGCACAGCATAGTTTCGAACGCATTAATGGTTAAAAAATTGTTGCATCAATGGAATGGGAAAACATATTGGAACAATTTGTGCTAGGAAACATGAAATAAATCATCACACAACATAATATATACAGGTAAAAATAAAGGCACCCTTTTGTAGTGTCGTATATCCAAGTATTCATAATCACTCCATTCAAGGGGCACTCATCTGTTCATACAAATGTAATCTATCATTCTTTCAGGGTATATGCAAAACATAATCAAAAACTTAACTTTTCCATCTCTAGCACGACGATTCAACTACTTACTTGAAACACTCGTGTGAAAAAATGGAATTACTAAGGGAATGGGTACAGTCATTAATTTGTAGGACATATCAAATACTTCCTTTACTATAAAAAAATCCTTGGATGTTTCTTTAAACAACTTGCCACTTACCTATTCATTACAACTACACATGAGCTCAAAAACTGCAAAGTACTCGAGATTACATCCTCGTTAATATATATCCCTTTCAGTTTGTGTAGTTTTACTTTAGGCTTTTCAACTTTTGTCTGTGACAGAAATGAGTTCAAGATATTCCCTGAGGATAACAAGCACAGGATGTGGGCTTCTGATGCAACAGCATTAAATACACAGATCTTAGATACTTTGTTAAGGCTTTTACAAAATTTCAAAATTTAGCACCAGAATATAAAATGGCCATGCACTGCATTTGTTTACCCAAGTCATGCTATTCTGTGCTTTGAGGACCACCTTTTAAATCTCATTTCATTACTCTCTTACACAAGAAGTTGCAATACAGACTACAATTTATGTTGCAAAATAGGTATACAGTGAACAAGACTGGCATTTAATAGCATTTTCAGAGAACTCATTTACAGGCTCTACAGCATATCTTGATACTTATTACTGTACTGTCTGCAGAAACCACAGCAAATTATGAAGTTAAACAGGAATAAATAAATAAGAAATTAGTGACTCTAACAAGTCTAATACAACATGTGTGTCTGTACTTGGTTCACACATTTTGTAAGAAAATACAGGAAACCTTAACTGTATTATGACCCTTCTAACCAAACCCTGAACAAGTATTTTTTCGCTGTTTCTTAAACTTTCTTTTACGCTCAATATTATAAGTTAATATACTAAGTGCTGATCTGCAAATTATGTCAATATTACTCTCCTCAAGTGCAGTTCACAGAGCACATGATAATAGTTTACTAATCTTTGTTTTAGTATTTAATGGTAACATTTTGTTACGTGTATTTACATGATAAAACAATTGCTGATAATAGCCTAGTAATGAGGATGTTAACTTCTCATTACTTCAAGTTCCACTGAATACTATCTCGAAAGTGTACCGGTAAATATGTGTCACTTGTGTGCCTTCTGAATCATTCTGTATGCTACTGTTCACATTTGTGATCTTAAGTTTTCACAGCAGTGAAGATTCATATTGTAACATGACGGCTCAAAGCCAGAACTGTGGAAGAGGAAAAGATATCCATTCCTACACTCCAGCAACCTAAAAAGCCAGCTGTTGCTACTGAATGGCTCTGTAAACAAGTCTCCTTGGCAGCAGATATGCACATGCAACAACAGAACAACTGTTGTAGGTAGTATTTTCTGTGAAGTCTGTCTTGAAGCTATACAGGATGTTTCACGACTTTAGGGCATAACTGCAGTAGGTGATTTCCTAGGTCTTTGTGATCAAAGAAGTTCATATAAACATGTGTATGATTTGGGACGGTTACAGAGTTATGACCGTTTTTCATTCCCGTACACGCCCTCGTGTGAACCGCGTCTGTCAGCTGTCGGGTCGCTATTTTTAGCCAGCTACAGACAGAGCGTTCTCGTTGTCTCGACACTTGAGATGTTCCTACAGTGGGGTGGATTGGTATATCCAGCGCGGTTCACAACTGAGCGGCAGCCTGTGTTGCAGCCAGTGGTGGCATTTTCGAAAATCAGCTTAAGCACCAATAAATTAAAATTATAGGCAATTTCACGAAGTTAACTTTACATTCATACTTTAAATGTATCATGTATTATGCTGGTTTATTATTTTGTTCCGTTTATTGTCAGTAATCGTTACCTTCTATTTTGAGTTTAAAATGGTCGTAACTCTGTAACCGTCCAAAATCGGACACATGTTTATATGAACTTTTTTGATCACAAAGACCTAGGAAATCACCTCCTGCAGTTATGCCCTAAAGTCATGAAACACCCTGTATAGCTAGAGCCTCCAGCCAGATGAGAGTTAGTTGTGAGTTGCTGCATTTGAGAAGGTGGGGACACACTTGGGGCCATGAGTTAGTCTGCAGACAGTCAGTCTGTAGGCGGTGGAGGCCAGTCAATGGCCATTAAGAGTTGTGAGATACTTGTCATCCAGTGAGGAGAGGAGCCATAGAACACAGACTGAGGTATCTACGGCACTGGGAGCCATTACCAAAATAAAACTGGTGAAGACAGCAGACAGAAAAGAGTGTGTGCTGTAGTCAGTTGTTGAATATAGATCTGTGAACTGTTGTTATTGCAAGCAGTTATGATCTGCAAGAGTCCAATAAATCCAGTTACCAATCCAAACCCCATGTCTAGTCACTAAACTAACTTCATGGGGCTGAGCCCTTCTTGGGAAGCTGCCAGTTGTGGAGCTACTCAAGAACTTTCAGAATTTTATGAAACCCCAAAGGTTCATTGCTGTGTACACAAGAGCCCTCCTAAGCCACATCAGTCCAGTCTATACCACCCCATCCTATCTCTGTAAGATCCATTTTAATATTATTCACCCGGCTAGGCACTAAACATGTGACTATTGTGGTGTCTGGGCTATGATAGCATATAGTCTGCTAGGTGGATATCATCACTTCCAGGAAACATACTGTTCACACATGCAGTAGTAACCAGAAAGACCATACTGTTTAGTATATGCAGAAGAGTACTAATGACTTTTAAAAATATGGGTGATTAGATCAAGTAACCCTGGTTCTTATGCGAGACAGTTATGCCATCCATAATAACAGTGTTTACAATAACTTACATGGAACAGCAGTAATAAAGAGAAAGGAGAATATGGGAAGGGGAACCTGACACTGCAAAATGAGGATCTGTACTTAAGATCTGAAAGTTTGTGACAATGGTACATTAGTATAAATATTATGTTTTTGGGCATTATCCATCTTCTTGTCTTTGTCTAAAAATCGTCCTGTTTGTTTTTCAAAACACAACGTTTTGGAGACTGGATTCTATCTCGGTCTTCTTGCAAAACTCATTTGGGCCCAATCTATAAAGTTAGTCCCTATTTCTGGACACCTGTGCCAGCTTCAAGATGGGGTACATAAACGAAACACAAACCATCTGCGAGAGCTAAGAAAACACTGAATTATTGATGCTTCAGATACTTTTCTGGTGCAAGGCCTCATACATGTGGAGTTTCAATAATTTAATATTTTCTTAGTTTTCACAGATGGTTTGTGCTGTTTGATTTATGTACCCCATCTTGAAGCTGGCACAGGAGTCCACAGATAGGGATTAGCTCTATTGATTAGGCTCAACTGAGTAGGTTTTACCTAAAGACAGACAGAATCTGGTTTCCAAAATGTTGTGTTCTGAAAAATAAACAGGACGGCTTTTAGATAAAGACAAGACGATGGATAATGTCCAAAAACATAATATTTATAGGATTTGTACTATTACATAAATTTTGCTGAATTCAATCTTCTTCATATCTCTCTCCACCAATATTATATTGTATCATCCTGCAGCATATCACTTAGTATCAAATGTTGCTGGTTCCACCATCTCATGTGCAACACGTCTTTCTCTAAAACTTCCTAAAAGTTGTTCACTTTAAAACTTTTAGACATCACATAACTTTCAAGTTTTTAAAAGTTTTTCACTATAATATTGTCATCATCAGGTGTTTAAAATTACAGTTGAAACTTCCGTTCTTCTGTTATCGTGGCTTTGGTTATTAACGTATGGTCCTCTCTATGTGCATATGTATTTGAAGAGACAGGTTGTTCTTCCTGTTGTGTTATCTTGTGTGTCTTTTCCAGAAATATGGAACTAGGAATACAATGTACTGTTCAGAACTAAAAATGCTAACCCTAGACATATTGTCATGGTTTTAGAGACATTGGATGGGGTCTGGATTGGTAATCAGATATATTGTTCTTTTAAACAACACTGCAAATCACTGCCACTCAGACTAGTGTTTGGAGCCACTGTAATGCTTGGCAACATCTTCCAACAGTGGGCATTCCTCTGCTCCCAGCTTCATGTCTTCACAGGCTGGCAGTCATCGAACACCAACCTCATACTCCTCCAACTCAAGATACTGCAGACTGCTCCTTGTTATACAGTCTTGGCACTGCTTCTAACCACTCTTATATTGTTGTGTGGACATCTGTTGAGGAATCACGTGATGGCTACCAAGCCATTGCCTAGCAACAGGCATGTTTGCTGCACCATTTACTAGCAACAACTGTCTCTACTGGCTTCATAGTTCTGGCTTTTAGAAGACATGCCACAATATACACATAATTCTGACAGAAGTAACAGAGATATCACAAATACCAGTACTTAATTATCAAACTTAATAGTAATCAGTTAATTAAAACATGACATTACTAAAGCAGCACATATGCAGTAATTTGTGGACAAGGTTTCTTCAGTAATATGGAGAAGAAAACAGAGTGTATGTTATTCAGTTGTCCACTTCATATTAAACCTATATGCTGCTCTTGTATGCAATAAATATGAAGGACGTGTTCTGGAAATAACACTCAGGGGAGAAAGTCTACATAATTTTCAAACAACAGCCTGAAGATTTTATAATAGTGTACACTATAACGAGAAAATCTGCTTAGAAAGGTACAATACACTGTCTTCAAATGCAGATTTTGCAGAAACAATACATTATCCTGTACAATTCCTTACCATGCGTACATACCAAAAGAATGGTATTAAACCCAACTCCATGATATTAAGTACAAACTTGGGAAATATACATCCCTGAAAACAAATGACATAATCATGTCTGAAAAAGAAATAACTCACTCCAAACACTGCATGAAAATATTTGCTTACAGAACCTGTGTACTGATGAAGAGTGCATGCAGAAATCCTATTTAAGGAATCACACTTACTGGAATGGAAATCCAGCTTTTTAAAATAAGTTGTTCCAAATTCCCTTCAAAGTCACTAATGTCAAATTTTGGTATGGCAACTATAAGATATGGTTTCATCAATCTGCAGATTTCTTTAAACAACGTGCCTGTTTATGTAGTCTCTTGTGATAGCTCTGGGCTAATGAATTGATGATGGAGACCACAAAATACAGGATCATTACTACCACAATCTTCTCAAAAATTGACGAGAGTATATTTCCTTCCTGAAAAAAGAACATATTTAGAATATTAGTAACTAACATTTTTTACTTCTTTCGTCTATACATCCACTCCCCCTACGCCTTCATGGCATACTGCTTAATTAGTTAAGCACAGGGATAACTTTACCTTACCTTCACTTAATATAAATTGGGAGTGTTATCCACTAAACCACAAGATAATTAACCATTTCATAGGCGAGTATGTACGTGATGCAGCAACACTGTCAGGTCAGGGATTTTCCAGAATAAAAAATGAATCATGACAAATTTTCTGAGTGAATATGGCAGTACATCGCAAGTGGTTCTAAGAGCTAGCCAATATACGGTATTAGCTTTAATTTTTACAATTTTCAATATAATACTTGGGAGACAATCAGAAAATCTGAAAACATTATGTAAATAACTCTCCAGTGACCTATTAGGAGCATCTAGCGATGGTGTAGATATCTGCATCTTTACCCTGAACATGTTAGCACTTTGTATAATAAGCACTTGTTTACTTTCTATGAACACTACAAGCCAACAAATAACTAAAATCATCTCCTGTATTATTACTTTGCACTACTGTATGAGTAGTTCATGTGGTCATATTGTAGCAGCAGTACATGTATACAAATTTTGTAAATGATATGTACAATCATACAGTTAAGTTGTAAAACATGCTAGTAGTTACTATAGGATTCTGACGATGGTGTATAACACACTGATATATTGGGTTTTCGGACTTTATCCATCGTCCTGGTTTTTAAGAAAACTAATAAAAACACGACGTTTCGGAAACAGATCCAGTTTCCGAAACGTCGTGTTTTTATTAGTTATCTTAAAAACCAGGATGACGGATAAAGTCCGAAAACCCAATATATCAGTGTGTAAAACATGCTGATTCCCCACTCATAATTGTGCACTCAGCAATACACTTCACACATTTCCACTAGATTTGAGTCCATTACATTCATATCTTAAAATACCAACTAAACATACAGAATCCCAAGAAGACTACTACAATGGAGTTTCACTACAAATATGAATACAGGTTAGAACACACCTCAGAAAAAGAACACATCTAATTTTACAGAATCATGCGATATGATAGTACATACCGATGGCACCTCTTCTCCTGGTTTTCTACGTAGCTTCAACTTTTGCTTCAGAAGGAAGTGTTTGAATGGTTCTTGAAGTTTAGAACCAACAGCAGGAATGTGCGCTAATGTAGCAACAGCCCTCTCGACCAGCATTTCATTAAATGCAATGATGACAAACACTTTCTGAATGAGCATCTTTATCACAGCTTTACCAATAAGTGTTGCACCAAAGAATGTCCAAAAGGGGACAAGAAAATGTCCACAAGTAATCCCTGCCAGGTCAAACAATGGGTTAGGAATCTGAAACAGGTTTTGTTCACATCACTGAATGTTAAATTGTCCCATTTTTCTTATCTGGATTTCTGAATTGTAATTGTATTCATTAATCGTATCCGTAACATCAAATTACTGAACAGTACAAGTAACGAAAATGGGTGACTAATAAATTAATACAGTAAGATAATTAAATAAACAACTGTTAGTCAACACAATATTATTATAGTGTCCTGAATCGTGTTTATGGCTGATAATGATTCTCACAAAAATTCCATCTGCATCCACTGTGGATTATGTGTGAAAACTTGTGTTTTTATGGTGGTGCCATATACCGAATTAGTCTCCTTACTGACGTCTTCTATTCTGATAGTACTCTGATTTTAACAACAGTCATGAAATAGTGCATGGACATAGGTGCTAGATCGTATGTCTGGGGGTTTCTAACGTTTATAATGCCTGCCTTAACTCTTTCAGATGGTTTATGCTGTGCTTGGTTCAAATATTTTATCTGGTGTTGGTGCTAGGGAGTAACTCTATCAGTTGGGCTCAACTGAGTAGGTTTCACCTGAAGATAGAATCCAGTCTCCAAAACGTGTGTTTAAATAAAAACATGATCATAGATAATGTCCAGAAACACAATAATTGTGGGGGCACATGACAGCGTAGTTGGTTGAAGCACTATGCTACAAGCCAGAAGGTCGCAGGTTTGAGTCCCAATGAAGTGGATTTTTTTCAATTGACCTAATCCTTCCAACCGCATTATGGCCCTGGGGCTGACTCAGCCTCTAACAGAAATGAGTACCAGGAATCTGCCTGGGGGGTAAAGGGCGGCTGGTGTGTAAGGCTTACAATCTTACTGCCACCTGTGAGCCGACTGTCTAGAGAAAATGTGGGAGCCTCGACATCTCACAACCCTATGGGCCTTCACAGCCTATTAGAGGGATAGCTTTACCTTACACAATAACTGTATTAATATACTATTGTCACAAACTTTTAAATCTTAATTACCATGTTCACCCTTAACTACTGTCTGATCATATTCTGGTCCCTTAGTAAAAGTACAAAATAATTAAAAACATTTCCAAACCTTTGGCATTGAATGCAAATAATGCAAAATATGTTATTACACATTTTTGTAAAACACTAACCATCAGCCTAAGCTCCTGGCGTTTCAATCAATAACATGTGGCATAATAATTAATTAATTTACCCATATGCATATTTTCTGGCAAAGAAATAGTGAGAAATACATACATGTACTTCATTTATCTAAACACCAGTTATGAACTTGTTATGAATTTGTTGTACTCACAGAGGCACAAGCTAGAATGCCAAAGAAACCAACTTTCTCCACTAATCTTTCAACAAACAGCTTCGCTCGATCCAAATATGTCTGCAAACAGAAAATGTCACATCATAATAGCACCATCTACATTAATGAAATAAAGGGTATATTTCTTCTTAAATAATTATAAATATGTATGAAACTTACCATTAATTCAGGGTTGTTTTTCTTCCGTTGAAGTTCCTCAAATTCTCTGAGATCATCTTCATCATCAGGATCATAACCAGACAGTCTAGAAGCTCTGGCCATGAAGTATGGGGGTAACTCCCCTAAGGCTGTGCCTGCACCCCACATCATCGCTTCAATTCTCACCTTTGACATGATGTTCCAGATGCTTGCCTGCCATTCTGGATCTACTGTATCTGCACAAATTATTCTGCAGAAAGAAAAGTGCCATATCAATATCAAATTGCATAAAACGTACCCAATTTCACCTCATAATTCATGTACCTTCTTTTACTTTCATGAAAGTAAGAGAAATTAAATCACCATATATTTCATGCATTCAGTCCTTACATATAAATGATGACATCAACAAGAATTTTGTCCCCAAAGTGATACCAGCAGGTATAAAAACTGAAATTTGGAGGACGAAGCAAGCAGGATGACAATGAATTCAGCATAGTTCAGTGATTGTCACACATCACATGATTTGCAGTATAACATTACAGCCTTACAAAGTAACAGAGGAAATATTATATGGGACTAATCAGATGAGTGTGAAAATGAAGACTGAGTTATTAAAACATGAAGAGTTAAGTGAAAAAAGTTATCCTTTTTTACCAATTAATCCTGCAAGAGGCCAATAAAGAAGGTTTGTCTAGATGCAAACACAGAGAACACTAAGTATATGTTGCTGTTTGTTACTAGTAAAATAAAGTAAAGGTATCCCTGTAACAGGCCGTGGAGGCCATAGGGCTGTGAGATGTTGAGGTTCCCACATTTTCTAGACAATCGGCTCATAGATGGCAACAAGGTTGTCAGTCCTATGTGCTGGCCGCCCTTTACCCCCAAGAATATTTCTGGTATTCATTTCTGTTAGAGGCTGAGTCAACCCCAGGGCCATAGTGTGGCCGGAAGGATTAGGTCAATTGAAAAAAATCCAATGACCTCATTGGGACCTGAACCTGCGACCTTCCAGCTTGTAGCATAGTGCCTCAACCAACTATGTTACCGTGGGCCCCCTTGTCATCAGTATGCAGGGCAAAATCACGACACAAAGACAGCTAACAGATCCTCTGAAAATGTGGCACAGTTCAAATATTTGGGAATGACAGTAAGAAATCAAAATTTCATTCAGGAGGAAATTCAGAGGAGACTGAATTTGGGTAATACTTGTCTTGTCTGCTGTCTAAAAACATAAAAATTAGAATATACAAAACTGTAATTTTGCCTATGGTTTTGATGGTTGTGAAACATGGTCTCTGACATTGAGGGAGGAACACAGACTAGAGGTGTTTGAGAACAGAATGCTGAGGAGAATATTTGGACCAAAGAAGATGAAGTGGCCGGAGTCTGGAGGAAACTGCATAATGAGGGGCTTCATAACTTGCACTCTTTGCCAAGTATAATTAGAATGATTAGTTCAAGGAGGATAAGATGGGCAGGGCATGTAGCATGAATGGGGATTAATAGGAAAGCACATGGGATATTGGTGGAGAAGCCAGAGAAAAGATACCACTAGGAAGATCAAGACTTATATGGTTGGATAATATTAAAATAATTCTTAGAAAGAAAGAATGGTGTGGTATGTTCTGGGTTGATCTGGCTCATGATAGGGACCACTGGAGGACTCTTGTGAATATGGTAATGAAGCTTAGGGGTGCATAAAATGTTGGGAAGTTCTTCAGTAGCTCCATGACTGGCAGCTTCTCAGATCACTGAAGTTAGTTAGTTAGTTAGTCATGGGGGCCTATAAAATTTCTTTTGAAAAATAGTTTCACTTTTACAGGTGGGCAAACTACAAAGTGATCTTTATCATAATAACCATTTCAAATAAGAATTTACATAAACGAAAGCAAAATGTGGGGGAAAAAAATCTTTGAAATTTATGATGAAATAAATTTCACTGTATTTATAACTGAGTATGTGATTAAAAGCAAACAATAATCCAGGCACTTCATGTGGTACAGGAAATTAAGTATAGACATGTAACTGCTACAAGCCAACATTATAAGAATCATATAAGAATAACATTTCCTCACAAGTGGAATGACCTTAATCTTCTGGCCTTTTAAATGTACAATTTATATTAATTATGTCTTCCAACTAAATAATATAAACTTGGTTAATAGTATGCAAAAAAAAAAAAAAAACTAAAAGAATCAGAGTTAAACTTACTCATCTGGATATGGAGGTTCAGGAAAATTGAGACTGCCACACTCATAGGCTGCCAATGTCACTGTGGCAATGTGAGGCCCCAGGTAGAGGAGAAACGTGTGCAGACCTGTTCCAAGTCCCACTGAAGATAACACGCCCAAACCTAACCAGTACAGGCACCACAACGTCTGCTTACGGACAGAGTCCCAATACTGCAACAAGTAACAGGCTTCAGTCTTACCAAAACATGCTTCTGGTATGGCCAACTGATCAAAATTAATGACTGTAACATAATTACAATAACTCATCAACTGATGATAACATTCATTAGCAACTGCATTACTTAACAATCTGAACTTATACTCAGTATCGCTTACTTGTTGATGTGGTCCACCTAGATTAACCAATACAGAACAAACTATAGTGACTAGAAGAATGATGCCAAGAGCCAAGCGATACTGGATCAGTCTGTCAACACAAGATGTAAATAATCACTAAACATAATTAAATTATACTTTGTATTCTAAAATTAGCTTTTAAAATAAAAAAAAAGACTCTTACTTAACCAGGTGGTCAATGGTTTGTGGTTTATTTTACAATGCTGTCAGTAATTCAGAATATAGACTGAGGGTGTTTGAGAACAGGATTTTGAGAATATTTGGACCAAAGGGAGATGAATTGACAGGAGGTTGGAGAAAACTGCACAATGAAGAGCTTCATAACTTGTACTCTTCTGCAAGCATAATTAGAATGATCAAGCCAAGGAGAATGAGGTGGGCAGGGCATGTAGCACGAATGGGGGAGACAATGAATGCATATAGGATATTGGTGGGAAAGCCAGAACGAAAGAGACCACTGGGAAGACCAAGGCATAGGTGGGAGGACCATATTAAAATGGATCTTAGAGAGAAATGATGTGATGGTATGAATTGGAATGTTATGGCTCAGGATAGGGACCAGTGGAGGGCTCTTTTGAACACGGTAATGAACCTTCGGGTTCCATAAAATGCTGGGAAAGTCTTGAGCAGCTGCAGAATTGGCGACTCCTCAAGAAGGGCTCAGCTCCATCAGTAGGTAAGAGTAAGCCCTATATTTTTGTGCTGTTAAATGGTTTGGAATCAGAACGAAACTCCGGCCTAAAAAAATGTCATCAGAGAACTAATGTGGGTCATACATATAAAATGTATCTCTTAAAAATATACTCACTTGGTTCCATATATGTAGAGATCTAAGAATAGTTCTCGTATAAAGTAATTCAGAGTTCTGATTGGCTGTCTCCAGAGAACAAGAGCTTCACGTTCTGCCTTTTCCGCCATTTTAGAAGTATTGACTTCTGCCTGTGATGTAAGAGTGTTACCATTTCTATGTCCTGATGATGTCATCCCATCACTTTTTCGCTTTACAGTAGAATTACCAATTCGGGACACAGACATACTGAGACCCAATCTCTGTAACTAAGACATGAAAGTCTTATTTTATATGAATTAACAGTCCAGACAATAAATATTATTAAGAAAACTTTTTGCACACGTTCATAATCAAAAATAAATATCCAGTCATACATTTCAATTAATTTCCCCAAAATCTGTTGAGTGCAAGAAGAAGAAGAAGAAGAAGACTGTAGAACAGCAGAACAATTTTAATAAGCAAATAATTTAACAAATAGTAGACACAATTGACGAGTATGCCAACAAATGAACGCATAACATAACAATAGGAAGAACAGCCCTACCTACCACACTACTTCATTCCCAAATCCCAGAAAAATGTAATCTCAGTAGAATTTGTGATTTAACAAACATAACTTGCAGTACTATTAAGCAATTAATAATTCAAAACCATCATCTGAAACCTGAGTGTCAGTAATAGGTTATAAAATAATAATATACATAAGATCCGAGGTTCTCATGAAGATGAGGAAGTCATATGTGGTGATCTGGGCTATGCTACAGTACAGTCTGGTGGAATGGTACCCACTGACCAACGCCATGGCATCATAACCCATATGACCACAGTATGAATGTAATGACTTCCATCAAACAATAAAGTAATGTAAGATTTGAGGCTTTCATGGCGGTGACTATGAAGAAAGNATAAAGTAATGGTTTGATTATCATGAATAGCAAAATTTCAGTAACAAGATGGCCTATTTTCAGTGACTAGCTTGGTATTTGCATGTATGGACTGCCAAAAATCATAAAAAATGCTGGAAAGACCTCCTGAATGGACATAAACATGCATCCCACAGATCCCAGCACAAAAAATGTGAAAACAGTCAACAGTACAGTAGATGGTATTCAGGCAATTCCTAGAAACACAATATAGAAACAAAATTCACACAACTGGAACACAAGGGCTGCAACTCAAAATAATAATAAAAGAAAAAAAAATGTGAAAATAGTCAAGAGTGCAATAGATGACATTCAGAAAACATCAATGAACACAATATTGAAACAAAACTTGCATAACTAGAACGCCAGGTCTGCAATTTAAAAAAAAAAGAACTAAAATGTTACTGAGCAGCTGTTCAAAGTTTTGTACTGCGCACAAAAATTCAGGTATAATGGTGCAGGAAAGTGACTATCCTTGTGGTCTTGTTGCACTATGTGTATGTTATGAGCAACTTTGGCTAAGCATGCCACAACACATTATTCTACAAGTGCAATATCCCCTTGAATAAAATACACTACCACTGACCTAATAACACACAAAATTGCATTTTTAACACCCCCTTGCAAATTAAACAGTATACTGGTATTTATAACCAGCTAACATTACAAAATGCGTTTATTACCAAACTAATATGCCAACTAAATAACTATGAACATAACTTCTAGACACTTAGTTCACTATCCAGATACAAGAATACACACATACAGAATATGTGTTTTTCTCTACCTGTTGCTTATTCCATTATTTTACAATGGTGTACAGGTTGGTGTGGTAGGTACTGTTAAATGAGATATGACAGTATGATTGTGAACAATGAATCATGAGAGATGTAAGCAGATGCAACTGAGGCACATTTTAATCCCTTAACACATAATTTTAAAAGAAAAATTATTAAAAAATTGAATACAGCATGTTTCATGCTGAGGAAGTTACTGTTCGTTGTTAGTGAGCAAGTCCTACAAATGGTCTATTTTTCTCATTATCAGTCACAACTTGAATATGGTATTACTTTTTGGGGTTCTTCCCCAGCAATGAAAAGCATCTTTGTGGCCCAAAAAAGGGCAATTAGGGTTATGTTAAGAATGAGTCCTAGAAGCTCTTGTAAAGAAGGCTTTAAGAGAATGGGTATTTTAACAGTACCTTTTTTACATATATATGCTATGATGATGACTGTTGTTAGAAATCATAATATTTATCAAATAATGCTAGTCATCATATATGCACAAGACAGTCTGAAAAGTTACATGTTTCTTCAGTAAGACTATCTTCGATTCAAAGGGGTGTGTTGTACTCTTCGATCATAATTTATAATAATCTGCCCCAGAATATACAAATTTTGAAAGACAATTTGAATATTTTTAGGCATACATTGAACTTTCTTATTTCAAATGCTTTTTATTCAATAGACTAATACATTTCAAGCAAAAATGTTGCTGGATAAATGAATGTATTGTTGTTTGTAACTGTTGACGATGTGCCTAAGCTGTAGTTGATAATTTCACCCACTTTGTTTGGTAGTTCTAATGCTGTAGAAGTATCTTTTGTCAGTTGTAATTTGTTTGTAACTGTTGACTCAATCGTTCTTTGCAATCAAGTCTTTTTATGACAGGTACTATATCCGGTCCGGATCGGACAACGGATCAATGTAACTATGAACTATGTATGTATGTATGTATGTAAAATAAAAAGTTAATGAATTTATGCTGGACACCTGTGAAAAACTTCATTTCAAACAAATGCTGGACAAATAACATTTTGAAGAAAGCAGTCTTCTGGGATTTGGCACCGTGTATATGTGGTGTTAACCGACGTTTCGGAGGAACGTATCGTCTCCATCTTCAGGGTAGAATAAAAAATATAAGACTGCTTTTACCGGTTCTCATGCTTGCAGAATTCTTATATTTTTTCTTCTACCCTGAAGATGGAGGCGGTACGTTCCTCCGAAACGTCGGTTAACACCACATATACACGGTGCCAAATCCCAGAAGACTGCTTTCTTCAAAATGTTATTTGTCCAGCATTTGTTTGAAANTTTGCTGAAAGTGGTTTCCATGTAAGTCGATGTGCAACAGGTGAGGAAATAGTAATTCAAAATTTGTTTTACAAGGAAGCCACTAACCATCAGGAAAACACTAACCACCAAAGAGTTAAATAAATACCACAGCACAATTAACACATCTCATTAGCAGCTACAATTCTGTTTCATACATTTTTTTCAGCTACTGAATAATTATTGATATGAATCCATTCATAATTCATTTAACGATGCTGCCTGTTAAGCCAGGCCATGCAGTGTCGAATGATTGAAAGATGGACTAGATAGTATGTGCAATGACGTGTTCATGACCTAATTTAAGGTACCATCCATGCATCTGCCTGTAGGTATCATAAATCAGAAAACCCTGAGTCAGGATACTCAGTGCTCCAGCCAAATTTCGAACTGGATATCTCCCAGATACAAATCACAAGCATTCCTGCTTGAGGCAACTTGCTTACTGACATAAATCCAAATTTAAGTCTTGACATAAAACTGCTCTCCAATTTCTATCAAAATTTGATTTGGTAAATAAATTTTCGTTAAGGTCTCTAATCCCGAACATTCTTATATTTACACTGTCACATATTGGGAGTGACTATTAGATGGGGTTTGGATTGGATGTCTTGATTTATTGCACTTACACACTACACTACAACCTGGAAGGTCGCAGGTTCAAGTCCTGATGATGTCCATGAGAACCAGTAATTATTTAAATAATTTTCCTGGGGAGTAAAGCACAGTCGCACGTAAGGCTGACAAGCTTACCGCCATCTTTGAGCCGACTGTCTAGATAATGTGGGACCCTCAACGTCTCACAACCCTATGGGCCTTCACATCCTGTTACAGGGACAGTTTCACTTTTTTGTTTTTTTTTTTTTACTTTTTACTTTTACACACTCCACTCATAATTACAAGTAATACAGCGTTAATGTTGCTAATCCCCGAATTTTATAGTTCACTGCTGCAAACACTAGTCTTCTCAGTTTACCTGCACTAGATGTTTCCTAGTAACGAATGTTAAGCAGTATACCAGGCTCACGGCAACTACAGCACACATGAAGTCATTTTTTCACAGCCAGACGCTCAGCTCAACTGAACTGCACTCAATAACTCTGATGCCTCAATTCCTTAATTCAATTCCATCTCTCGATTCATCTGCTCCCAAGCTCACATCCTGCCAGGCTGGTGTCTCAAAACTCAACTGACTTAAAACGATCATCTTTGTCCTGTTTATAATACCCTCGACACGGACCGCACGTATAACACAGCTCTTCTATTGTTGCGTGCAATCGTTTCTGCGGAAACGTGTTTACTCAACTCTTCTACAGCAATGGCTGTATGGGTCACACCTCGTTTAGTGACAATTCCTCTACTGTTGCATCTCGTGTGGAGTGGGGTCAAATGCCTCCACCGTAGCCCAGCAAGTTGTAGGAGGCGACTTAAACGGAACCCAGTGCCTGGGGGTATATAACCGGGCCACCGTTCCTGGGAGATATAAATACGGGGACCTGGCGCTCCAGGTTGGAGGAGTCTCGAATCTGAGGCAGTAAAATGTGGTCATGAGTCCCGCGGTACTCGGACCTGAGAATGACTGTGCTGGCGAGAACCAGCAAGAATTCTAAACGATAGACCCATCCTCTCATCTGAGAGGATGTTACATAATGACTATGACCACAAGAGTTCAGTTGGAAACAAAAATTATTGGTTGTGAGTCTCAAGGAGCTTGTCGCCAAGATAAACCGATTGGCAGCAAACTGCCAGTCGTAAAGTAACTCTCTTTCTCTATCTATTCTTGCGTGCGGGCATTACCTAGCAACGGCTGTTTCTCTGGCTCCATAGTTCTTGCTTGGAGCAAATACGCCACAATATTCATATTTCGTCCAATTTTCCTCTGAAAATGGATGTATGAAAGCACCGCCTGATTAACCCTCCTGCACTGTTTCAGAATGCGCCTACGCGAATTATGATACAGAATTAAAAAAAAAAAAACATTTTAAGAAACATTTTTGGGGGACCCAAAAATAACCGGAATTTATTTTTGTTATTTTTTATTTTTGCATTTTTATTGAACTGTATATTAGTCCCCTTCACATTCACATCAAAAAAACAAATCAACATTGTTTTCACATTGGATCGCACTTGACGCGCTTTCTTCGGTCGTGGTGAAGTTGGAGTTTTCCACTGGCTTGATGATTGCTTTGATTCTGGATCGTACCCGTAGCACCAAGACTCATCGCCAGTCAC